TAAAAATGGCATGTCTACAACAACAACCTAGTTAGATCCAACGAGAGTAGGGACCGGGGAGGATATATATAGGCAAATCTTGCCCCAGATGAGGCAAACATATATTAGATATAAATTTCTATATTTAAATTCGAATATATTCATTAACATATCGAATCGAATACATATATATTCGTATTCGTGTTCGTTTTCTTTCGAATTCTAATAAATATTTATATTTGCATTCATATTTATTTTTTCGAATACGAATAATTGAATTCGAATACGAATCACGAATCGAATCAAAATTATTCGTTCGTTTTACAACCCCATGCACAACCCCCGAACCGCTTGCCTTCATATTGTCTCCGGTCATTTGAATTCCTGGATGTGTCACTGCTTGATAGCTCAACCCTAGCCAGGGGCTTTACCCCTTAAACTCGGTTATAGAATTTGTAATATCATTAAACGAGCATACATTCCGTACCATCTAACCCGTTAATAGTGTTTGTTAAAATCCTGTCTGATCTAAGTAAATCGAGTTATACAAAAAAAATCCGATGACACTAAACTCACCAACTTGTATGCATAAGGTTTCTAATTTCGTGTTGTACTAATTCTAAGCATCTATGAGCTCACCTTAAAGTACGTGGCTAGATAAATCTAAGTTCTTTTATTCATCAGGTTCCTACGTAGGTTGTACACTGGTGCGTACAAAGACTCATCACATATTGATTTCTCAAATTCCCGTTTTGATTAGTCAAAGTCTCATTGACTTCGCTAGTTCGTCCCTTATTCAACATCATGTTTCTAATCACTTCATGTTCCATTAGATCCAAGTTCTCACACTATCACTCAAAATGTAAAATTTGCAATTGATCGGATCGGGTTAGGTCGAATTTGACACTTTTTAGTCTTAGAAATTAGAGCACATGCCCAATCCAGGTAACTAAATCACTATTAAAATTACTTGAAATCTGATAAGACTATCATCCTCTTTTCCTAACACATTTGCAGACTCGCAACATCCTCGTAAGTAGAACTGGCAAATCGATCGGGTCGGGTCGGGTTCGGGTTTGGTTACTTTGGGTTTATGTTATTTCGGGTTCGGGTCAATTCAGATTTGGGTTGAGAACTGTATGTGCATGACTGTTCACTATTCACAGGATCAAATTTCACTCACTTTCTTTCTCTATTTTCGTTAGCAATTTGATAAAATAAAATATTATTGTCACTACTAGTTTTGTAGATCTTTTGATGTATTCCCTCCGTCCCATAAAAAAGTTCTCATTTTGACCATAAATTGGTTAAACAGTTACACACTTTGACCATAAATTAAATATAATCTAAATAAAGAGATGCCAAAAAAATTTGAGATATCAAAACTAGATTCTAAGATGAATTCAATTATATTAAATTTATTTTATAATTCAATATACCTTTCTCACAATTTGTAGTCAAAGCGTGTAAATATTTGACTAAATACTATTCAAAATGGGAACATTTTTGTGGGACGGAGGGAGTAGTATTTTAATATGTAATTTTTATTTTTTAACTATATACCATTTGTCATATAAAATGATTTGAAAATAATTTCAGTCAAACATCGTAAACCGAAACAGACGTAATAAAATGGGACGGAGGGAGTAAGATATTTATTCAATATCATTAAAATTTTATCCGAAAATATAATTTATACACTAAAAGTGAGTAGTAAGATATCCGATCTTGAAAAACTCTTACATTAGCGGGTCGGATTTGGTCATCAAAATCTTTGTTCAAAGCCAAATATTTTTGGATCATGCTTCGGATAAAAAACAAGTCAGATTATTTTTAATTTTGTCAAAGTCTGCTCGTGTGGCTGCTCAATCAACAATTCAACTCCCCTCAAAGTTAAATTCTTATTCCTAACTCATGATGTTCAATTGGGTCTAATTTTAATTACTTTTCGGCTATATATTGCAAATAAACAACTCCTGTGATGAGGTAATTCTTAATGAACTAACTTGATCAGAAGTTTGAGTTTATAGTTCTTGTCCAGAAAATATTATTTGTATTTTAATTTCTAACATGCACCCTCACACGAAGGTGTAGTTTTTTTCGAGTCTTGCATGTGAACTTTAAATATTTTTAAAACGGGGTAAAACTGAGTTTCAAACTTGTGACCTCTTAGTCAACAAGGTTTTGATATCACGTCAAGGAATCAATTCAACCAAAAACTCAAGTTTGTACATACATAATTTTCACATGGTGGTTTTAAGTTTATTTTTTAAAATTTTACTGATATTTACAAAAATATATTCATTTAATGCGATTATAAAAAACGTTTACTCCGTAATACAATAGTTATGTTCTCTTAGCTTAGTTCCAAATTAAGCTTTAGCCGTTCTTGAATTTCCAAAAAAAAAAATCTTAATTTTTTATTAGATGGTTTAATTAAGTAATACTCCGGTATGTAAGTGATGTTTGGATTTATGATCTTTTTTGTTACAGAAGTACTCCGTATTAAAATTTCACTTTTTCAATTTTCGCAACTTTGTTAATATGTACAGACGGAACATCGCTTAGTTCACCTAATTTATAAATAAGTAACCCTAATTAAAAATTAGAGAAATGCTAAAGTCACAAACACTTTGATCACAAAATACACAATCTTGCCATTTGTGTACCTCACCAAGTGAATTAAATAATGTTAAATAATTAAAAAGTAAACATTTAAATACACAAATGGTAAGTTTGTGTATTTTGTGATCAAAAAGTTTGTGACTCTAGCACTTCTCTGAAAGTTATCATGTTGTGTTACTAGTTAAATACATCCCGGCCAATAGGGTAATTTTTTTCATCTATTTACTTGTTGATGTTTAGTCTATTATATATCTTCAGTAATTCATCCTTAGTATTTCATTTCCAGTGTATTTGTTCAATTTGACTTTTTCAAGTCAAAACATGATGAATTTTGAGTTTCAGTTAAACAAAACTTGTAATATATATTAGTATAAAAATAATTTTATTAAATTTATTTTGTCACGAACTATCAAAATTTATATCATTGTACAAATATGATATACTACAAATTTAGACTTATTGAATCTTAAAATTTATCCAGTTTGACTCAAAAAAGTTAAACTGGAAAAACACACTGGGACAGAGGTAATGTGAAGTATAGAGTGTTTTTTTATCAAATATGAAATGAAGCAAATACTAAAGAGTCTTCTGGCTGACTCTTCTCAAAGTTAGAAGAAAATGGGCTTTACCAATTTAATTGGGATGATTATAACGTGCAGTGTTTGATAATATGTGTCAAAAGTCATTGGATTGATTCAAACTCGATAACTCTAGATCATATAATTTTCAATCTGAATTCAGAACAGTCTAAACCTGTTAGTACCAAACTCAAATCCGACCCGACTTTTCTCAAAATTGGAAGAAAATGGGCTTCACCGATTTGGGATGATCATGATGACGTGTTTGATACTAGGTGTCTAAACTCGTTGGATTGACTCGAATCCGATAGCTCAAGGTCATGAACAAGCATTCATCAACTCAAACTCGAAAGAATTCGAACTCGTTAGTACCAAACTTAAATCTGACCTGATCGACCGTTTTGTTTGGTCTGAGTGGAAACATGCACTACCTCCAACAACAAACAACCAATTTGGGCAATAAATGAATAATGTAAGGATGTCGATAATCGTGTGATTAGTGTTGGGTAATACGATAATTAATGCGACAACGTGAGAAATTTGCGGGTTGATGTCCGGAGTTTTGGTAGGGAAGGGAGCAAAGAAGAGTGCGGATGGGCTTGTTTGGTTGGGGAATTAGGGGACGGATTAGTGGATGACGGCCCATTTACCAAAAAAATCTCCAATTTTAAGAATTCATTTTGTACCGGATGGGCTTGTTTGGTTGGGGAATTAGGGGACGGATTAGTGGATGACGGCCCATGTACCAAAAATCTCCGGAGATTGGACAGTTGATATCCAAATGACCTAAAGGTGACCTATAAACCGCCTATTGGACCACAAAAGAATGTTGAAAGTTTGTGTATTTTTGTGATAGGAGTTAAAGTTTATATATCGAACTGAAATAATGATGAAAGTTTGTATATCATTGATGAAATTTACCCTATGGTGATGAGACAGTGTTGTATATTTGGGGTACACTATTTGGTTGTACCTCTACCATTTTTTTTTGGTATATGTAACATTTATCTAGAATTTAACTATATGTACCCCAAAAATTTTACCCCGAAGACATGTATCAACATTTTTTGATAGTGTGATAGTTTACAGTGATACAAACATGTCAGTGTAAATTTTTTTTATTGAACAAATATTTTGTGTCAGTGTAAACTGTTAAAATACTAATATATCTCTTCGGGGTACACTTGTTGGTCTACCTCACCTCAAGTAACCATGGTTGTTTTGTAGAGATATTTTAGTCGGTGGGCGTTGCGCTATTGGCAAGACAAGGGGTGCCGAGGGGGTAAGACCCGAATTCGATTCTTGTCAACTGCGTTGGGACGTAACTATAGCATATGGCCTCTACAAGTACCAGGTCCAGACTTTACTCTTTGTCATCAACGTACAATTAACTTTCAATTTACCTCCTTTCAGTGATCGTCTCACCGAGTCTGAGGGGGGCTTCCGGGTTGGGACTCATATTTCATGTAGAGATACTTTAAGATAAATGTTAGGGGTACACCAAAGGTGTACCCTAAATGTACACCACCCCCTTCTCCACCACACATTTGGTGTACCCCTAGCATTTTTCATACTTCAATGGAAAATGCTAGGGGTACACCAAAAGTGTACCCCAAACATCCCCATCCCCTCCATCACCACAAAAAAAAGCAAGAAAAATTCATAAAAAAAATAAAAATTAAAAACAAAATAAAATAAATGGTAAAGAGAAAGGTGGTGTACATTTGAGGTACACCTACCTTTGGTGTACCCAATGGTGTACCCCTGGGCATATCGGTACTTCAATACCAATTCAAACAACAGTGCGAAAGCTGAGGGCTAGTACAGGGACCCACCACTTACATTCTTCAACGTGATTGGGCAAAGTGCCTGAGTACAGCTGCACCCCAAACACTACAAAAAAAGCCACACTCTCTATTTCTCTCTCTCACATCACACAATTCTTGAGGCACTTTTGGAATTTGAGGGCTAATTTCTCGAGCTTCCATTCATCTCCTGAAGACCAAAATCTGCAGAGAAGAGCAAATCAAGAATCCATGGAGAAAGCTCTGAGAGCTGTGAGCATGGGGAGCAAGAAAGCTTCTGACTTTTGGCTCACAAAGAAAGCCAAAGAAGAGTTCAATAACATCACCAAGGACATCAATGTATGCGATCTTTCCTCCTCATTCATTCTATATGCTTGAAATAATCTTTGGGATTTCTCTGTTTTTTTCTTTGGAGAATGGGTAATTTGCTGTTGATTCTGATTTACTTTTGTTTTGTTGTTTAATTAATGAATAAACCCTATAAATGGTCCTAGTTATACACTTGGTTATCCAAATTTAGTTCCTAATTCCAAGATATTACATAAACCGTCTTTAATTTTTGAAAACTGTTACACAAATAGTCTTTTAACATTTTGAACTCATTCAAAAAAAAAACATTTTGAACTCATTTCTTCAAAAACGACATTTTTTTTAAAAAAAAATTAGGCAATTAAATCCGGAGGAAGAGAGTATTGTCCAGAGAGTTGGATCTGTTAATAAGAAATGGATGCTTGAAAAGGGATGTAGTCTATGGGTTCTTGATTTTCGTGGGCAATTTATCCCTAGAGAGCTTGTTATGGTTGTGTATCTTGGTGATTGCACTCCCTACTATTGTATTCTTTTAGGGGGATGTTTTTATATTTTCTCTTAACACTATGTATAATTTACACTATGTTTGGTTCAAGGAAATTGGAAGGAAAAGAAATGAAAATAGTTTTCCATCAATTTCCTCACAAAATGGGAGGAATTTGGTTTTCTCTCATCTTACTACATTTTGCCTTCCCATTTTCTTTTCTTTCCACTTTTCTTTTCTTTTCCTCTCTAATCAAACAAGAAAAAATATTTTCCTTCTCATTTTCTTTTCCTTTCCCTCTCAAATTCCTTGAACCAAACATAGTGTTAGGGAATTCAATAAGGAAAAGAAAGTGATATAGAAAATAGATTTTCTTGTTTGGTTAGAGAGGAAAAACAAAGAAAAATGGAAGGATAAGATAAGTTAAATAGAGAAAATACAAATTTTTTCTAAGTATTCCAAATGAGCTTGTCAATTAATAATGGTGAAAGCAAATTCTTCCGTGTACCTAAGGTTCATGCTCATTTTATAGATTTTTATCGCATTTTTAGCATAAAAGAAGTGAGCCTTTTGCAAAAAAAAATCTACATACAAGCGCATGAAAAACGTAAGAAAGTCTACATTTTAAATGCGGAAATTGTGATTATGTAAGCATCATTCTAATGTGAACAGTGTTCATAGGAATGATAGCACATCTCAAGATACTTTACACAATTTGTCATAGTTTATTTATTGGTTTACCTTTTATATTTTCATTATTATACTTTTCTGAGTCTTTTTGCTTTTCTTTTTAGACGGTCCAAAAAACATGCTACTCCCCTCCGTCTTAGAATTATCATCTTGTTTGTTTTTTGATGCACTATTTTGATTATTAATATCTCTATTTATATTAGTTTTATAATATAAAAATATGATATTTTTAAATTTAATATTGAAATTAATCTATTAATATTAAATTTATATCATAACCCAATATATCTTTTCCATATTTTATGGTCAAAGTTAGAAATCTTTGACCAAAAAAAACAAAAACAAAGATAATTCTAGGACGGAGGGAGTACTTATTATATTCCGTATTTTATTTTTATTTAAAGAAGTAAATACGTGCCTTCAAAAAAAAAAAGAAGTAAATACGTGGGTCAAAGCAATTCTCTCATCTAATAAATAATAGCAAAATACATTTTACTTTTCAATATTTTTTCTTAAACTCTGTGAAAATCAAACTAAAAAGATTTTTATGAGAATAGAGGGAGTACTATTAGTTACTCTATCTGCTCATAATTATGTTAAATTCTGCTACAAATGCTTCTCTTCCAATGTGTTTAATTTTATTCTGTTAATGTGTGTGTTGAATAAAGTCTTAATTATTTCTCTTGACAGCCTCGTATGCAGGCTATGACAAATACCCTTGAAGATAGGGCAAAGCACATTTTCGACAAGCTAAAAGGTATGCATGTCCAGTTCGTATAAAATTGACACTTCTTACTTTCCCAATTTCCTTGTGAACCCCCCACTCCGCCTCGATCCGTTGCACAACTGAAAAGGAAAAGCAGAAAGTTCTTCTATGGACGGTCCGAATATATATTTACACCATCGATTGAAAATGTGCGTTGTTACGTTTTTGCCCCTCTATTTAGGAACTCCCCGAGAAACCCCTCAAGATCTTTTGAAGAGGCACAATCTACCGGTAGGCCTCTTCCCGGAGAACGTAATAACGACTTTCGAATACGAAAAGCGAACTTCGAAATTGATTGTCTACTTGCCCTTTCCTTGCGAGGTCACCTTCAACGACTGTTCTGTTGTGAGGTACTCGACTCGCGTGAAGGCCGTTCTCAGGAACAACAGGCTGGAGGAAGTGGAAGGGATGAGGATCGAAACGCGACAATGGGTGAACGTCACCAGCGTGTACGTCGAAGGGCTGAGGCCGGAGAAGGTTTGGTTTGCCACCGCCGAGGTGGCGAAGTCGCGGCCCTTGGCTGCCTACAAGTGCCATGGCAAGGCTGAGAGAGTGGCTGAGTTTTGAAAATGAGCAATGGGATCCAATTCTTATGCATGAAATGTGGTGTATCTTTAGATGCTTTGTAGTACTTATTATCCCTAATCCCTCCTCAATAAAAGAAGGGTTGTGCATTTGTGTACAAGTTTGATCTTAATGAAACATGGTTAATTTAGCACTATGAATTTGGATGTGAATTACAGAATTAAGAAACGCATTAAATATAAGATGACTTCGGGCTTATTCAGGAACAACGTTATAGATTAGAGTCAGTACTCTTTTAAAGAAATATTTAATGGAAGTGTTTAGATTTGTGTTTTTAGAGGTAATTTGCACCATTAAAATTTTATTTAAAATACTAAGGCTAATAAAAATGTTGTTCTCAAAAAAAGTCTAATTCAAGAAAAAGTTTCGTAAAAAGTCAAGAAACAATTAGTATAGAAAGCCCTTTTCAGTAAAGGGTTATGCTTGACATAATGACTTTTCCTAAATAACACTACATGTATTTTTCTTTCCAATGTAGCACTTTTAGTCATTATGCATTAGTCATTATTCAAACAAATATTCGTCATCACTGGACATTATGGACATTATTAAGTGCTATTTAGGGAAAAAAACAGTTTAAGTGCTATTTAGGGAAATGACTTAAGTTTTAGTTCTGTTTAGTGCAAATATTTCATTAGAAAATTGGTGCAACAATATTTTATGCACTTTTACTGAAAAAAGTGTATTAATTAGTTACTCCCTCTGTCCACCATAGATTTTCCCAGACACTATTCACACGGTCAAACTTTACTCACTTTGTTTGCTCATTTTTACTAGTCATTTCATAAAATAATATAGTCTTGTCACCTCTAGTTTTGTAGAACTTTTCATGTAGTTTATTACTATATAAATTTTATTTTAAAATTTTACTCCTATAATCAAATAAATTGAATTGAAAATAAAGTCGGTCAAGCCTCGTAACGCGTAATGGGAAGATCTTACATGGACGGAGGGAGTACAATTTTTGACAAAGTATAATTATAGTTTGATTTTCCAACAAATAAAGAGTTTAAAAAGATGGTCGTCCATCACATGGCAGCCCTTGATTTGCTACCACAAGCCGTCTTAGACGGCCTAACTCAATTGATTCAAGGAGGGAATATAAGTGCGCCGTTGATCTAGGGTCGATTTCCGATAGCGGGAGTATAAGAGATTCTTGAGTGCATTTAAGAATCAGATTGAGATTACATTTTGATTTACCCACTCACAATTCTGTAAGTCGGGGTGTGGAGTGCTCGGGATGGGTGTTATACCTTTTTAACTTGCTACCAGAAAAAAAACCTATACATATGTGACCGTGCCAAAGCTTTTTGTTGCTAAATGTTGCGTAAAGAACTTTAGTTGTGTGCCAAAAAAATCCCTAGAATAGAACCTTAATTATTTCCTAGAATCATTCATAAAATTAAATTTAACCAGTTTTATAATTACTTTTTTCTTGAGACCATCAGCAATGGCAAGTAAAGAAATAGAATGGCACGCGATGACGAGACATATTTCAACCAATTAAAACAGGTCCAAGAGTGGCAAGTGAGTGGAGTGTAAGTCCTGCAATGACAAGTCATTATTTTTTTTGTTTTTTAATTTTTTTATGTATATTAACCAACAAGAATTATTTTTATCATCTCTTTTAACCTACAAATACTCCGTATTTCTATTACCTTCATAGAAAAAGCTTTTTTTATATAAAAATAGAAATTGAACTAAAAATAAAAACATTTCATAGTGAATAATCAAATTAACAAATTTAAAAATCATAATACAAATTAAACAAAATAAATCAAAAAGCATGAAAAGGAGATGATTGAGTTCCCCACTATGTTCTGCGTCCCTGTAGCATGAAAAGGAGATGTTTGAGTAATTCTCCTCCTTATTTCGTTCTGACGTTAAAAAAAGAAAAAAAACAAAAAACAAAAGAAAAATAGGCATTCCATGCCTTGGCAATGACTCGCACGGCGAGTCAAAATACAAATGCCACGCGAGGGGAAATATGCTTGGTGCTGATGTGGCAGTGCGTGGAGGCTATTTGCCTCGCCACTGCCCATGCTCTGAGTGAATTCTCAAAAGAGTTCTCTTTAATTAGATATTTTCTCAAATAGTCCCCAATGAGTAATATTTACCTGTGTGATCCTTTATACTTTAGATTTATTTCTTAAATAGTCCTCTACCAAAAATATGTATTACTCTGTAAATGTCAGTCAAATAGGAGGTAATTTGGTATTTTCTATATCTAGACTTAAAGTATATTCTCGAAGAAGGAGAATGAGGTCTTCCATTGCTTGCCAGTCAAATATGTAGAATTGGAATTATTGTCCCTATTTCTAATTTCATAGTTTGAATTTTGTGTTCCAAACAAAGCCTAAAGAAATCAATTTACATTTCCACATTGTCATAGGGCAATAATTCTATTTTAGGAGTAAAAATATAAAATTCCTATTTTGGTATTTTAGGGTAAACTCATCGTCGGGTAAAGAATCAGAGTTTACAAATCGAATGATGGCAATATGGCATCGAGTTCGAAATTATCAAAGTTGATGTTGTTGTCTTTAGAATTTATTTTGAATAATGAGAAAATGGAAAGAAAGTTATTTAAGGGAGGTGAGTGTGAGTTGAGAGGGACGATAATGATGAATTGAAGTTGAAGATGTGTTGAATTTATTAATGTAAAAAATAAAAAAATTAAAACAAGGGGGGGGGGGAGCGACTGGCGCAGTGGATCGTCACAATGAACGGCCGCCGCGGTTTTGCTTTGTAAATTCAGCCCGGCTCTGCGCTAGATGTGGTGCGTGCGTCGCGACATAAAACGCGACTCTCCTCCTGCAATGTGAGTGCGGCGCGGCGGACCTTCGTGAAGCGTGCGACGCGATAGGATTATATCCTCATTGTAAAAGCTCAAGCTTGTAATTGTAATTTAAAAGAAGTTTTATATACTCTAACAAAAGGATTAAACATTTTGAAAAAAAAGTTCATAAATAATTCAGAAAATCTATATTTGACACATATCTTAGAGCACTGGTAATGCCTCTCACGCCCCATGGCGTGATGAGGCGTTTTAACGCCGGGGGGCGTTAAACACCGCCCCCCATCAGCGTGATTCGGGCGTGATGTGTTCGGCGTCACTCGTTTGACGCAATCTCCTCCCCCCTTAACGGCTCTAATAGCCGTTGAATGCAAAAAAAAATTATTATTTTTGTTATAAATTCAACCCCCTCCCAATCTCTCACACCTTCTTCACTCTTCTTCAATCTTCTTCAATTTCAAACTCCCCCTCTCTCTTTTCAACATGAATCCTTCCGGATCCGGCTTCTTTCCCGACAATCTCGCGCCAAGCGACGCCGCGATATGGTATTACCAAGAGTTGGGCGATCAACCGCCGATCAAGGCGAAATATAATTTACCTTAGTTTTTTTTATTAATGTATCTTTTTTTATTATTGTCGCTTTTTTTAATTTAACGAATGTAATTTTTTAAATTTTAAATTATTGTCGTTTCAATTTCTTTAAATTTAATGAATGTATTTTTTTTATTATTCGTGTTTCAATATAATTAAATAATAAATTAATTACATTTTATGAATTTAATTTTAGAAGATGTATATTTAAAAATGTAAAAAATGAAGGTTTGAAGCCCCGGGGCTTCAAACCCATTTCCAGTGAATTTTTGGTGTAAGTTAAAGCTGACATGGCAGAGAGAGAAAATTTGAAGACCCGACTCTTAGGATATTAGTGTTATTTAATACTCCCTCCGTCCCAAATTATTTGCCACGTTTGCTTTTTCAGCAGTCGCGGGAACTTTTGTTTATTTCTACATTTTCATTGGTTATTTGATAAAATAAAATATTCTTGACACCTCTTATTTCGAAGAACTTTTCATGTAGTTTTTTAATATGTAATTTTTATTTTTTATTTTTTTACCAATATGTAAATAAAATGAATTGAAAAAACTTGATATTTTGCCTCGGTAATAGAAATGTGACAAATAATTTGGGACGGAGGGAGTACAAATATTTGTTTTCATGTTTGGTAACACCACATACCACCACATTATGTGGGCCACGGACCAAAGAAAAATGTGAGCGAACTCTTCGAAGAAGTGCCGAAGTGTACGGAAAAAGGAAATGAGGATAGAGCTATAAAGAAAAAGAAAAGGAGAGGAAATCTAGAAAAAACAATTCTCTTGTTTTCTTATTAGCAGCGTGGACTTTCTGCGGAAAGGGCCAGCAACGTCTAGAGAGAGAAGGAGGAAGGAGACGACGGCACGGCACGGCACGGCGACGACTTCCCTTTCTAGGAACCGACGGGGAAGAATTTCGCTGTTTTGTTCCTTCCATCTTCATCTGCAAGGCGGAGTTTTCTTCGACAGCGGGGGAGCTCAATCCGCCGGATTCAATGGATGACAAGGAAGGAGGATCCTCGAGATCGGCGGCTCCGGTGCAGCGGCCTACTATCACGCTGCCGCCGCGGAGTTCGATGGAGAGTTTTCTCACGAGCGGGTTTAGTGGGGTGAGCCCGGGGCCTATGACTCTGGTGTCGAGTTTTTTCTCGAACGGAGATTCTCAGCCCTCGTTCTCCCAGTTGCTGGCGGGTGCTATGGCGTCTCCCGGCGCTTTTGCTGGTGTCCGGATGCAGCCTCAGCCAGTGGCGGAGAAGGTTGAGGCCGATCTGAAGGAGGAATCCGGCGGTGGAAGTGGTGGAGATGCGGGTTTTAGGTTCAAGCATAATCGACCCGCGGGGTTGGCAATAACTCAACCGTCAATGTTTACCATACCTCCTGGTTTGAGTCCTGCAACTCTGCTTGATTCGCCTGGATTCAGTGCTCTCTTTTCACCTGGCCAGGTATTTTGGAAGCTCTCTTTAATCTGTTTCGTGCTCTTATTGTAATCAAGTCATGTTCCAAAGCTGATTTTGTTCTTCAGAAGTCAGGGTAATGTATTAATGCCTAGTCTGTGATTAGGTTCCTGGATTTGGGGAAAATTTGAATTCAGCCAACAGATGGCCAAACCAGCATTAATGGTTGGTATTACATTTATCAGGGGTATTGCTGTGATTCATTTGATGATCTGGGCTGAAAGTGCAGTTGAATTTAATGGTTATATGTGGTTTATTACTCTGGTTTGCGTTTGGAGGTTGAAATAATAAGGCAACATTTTAAGGCTGTTGTTAAGAATGTTAAAAAAACTAATTTTTTACAAGATTGTAAACTTAAATATTGTAGCCTCTTATTAAAGATTTTCATAATTTTAAACGTTGGATCTAAGAAGATATTGGATTTGGAACTAAGGATTGGATGTAGTTTTCTATATGGATTTTGGACGGTGGAGTTTGTTTATTCAAGTTGCACAAGCATGCCCCTCTCTAAATACTTTTATGAAGATGAAGGTTTTTACTTTCTTAGAAGACTGAATCGTCATTAGGAGGCCATCACTTTTTAATATGGAAATATGCAAGTGCTTCACTGTCAGTCATGACCTGTCCTACAATCCTTTAACTCCCACTTGTGGGACTCTGGGAGGATAGGCTGGTCCTTGAATCCTTGCAGAGGCTTAGAATTAAGACTATTTTTGAGTCTTGTAGGATTTAGGAATTGACTGCCATTAGGCTAATTCTTTTTTTTTTTAACACTTCTTTTTCACACTTATATTTTTTACCCTTTGGAAGATAACTGTGGAATGTCGACTCCTAAGCATTGCAGAAATGAAAATATCCAATCATTACTATGAGAGTCGATTGCCAGATTAGAGTTCTTGTCTTCTAGAGCTATGGTAGATCACCAAATTATATCCCCACCCAAACGGGAAACTTACCCAATCAGCCTTTGACCTAAGAGAAGGGGACTCATAGAATTCACAAAAAATGGGTTCTCTTTGCTGAATAATACGATCCAATCTAAATTTAGTATTCAATTGGATCAGGTACAATCTGAACTTTTTTGGTATGGCTTGATTTGGATGTTTATGATCTTGTCTCATTTTCTTGTCTGAAATATAACACATCATCTAGTCTGAACTTTTCTGGTTTAGTTTGGTCCTAATTTTCTGGTCTAGTGTGGTCTGGGTTGAATCTTTTTAATTTGGTTATAAGAATTAGTATGATCAAAATAAGAATAAGTAATAAACAAAAACATTAAGGTGAAAAGAACAACACCAATGTCATTTTTAACTCCTGTGAGGCACTACTCTGTCTTCAGGGATCTTTTTGACCAATCATTTTATGTTAAAACTTCAACAAAATAACTCCCATGAAGAATTAAGTACTCTGGTCTTCAAGGAAGTCTCTTACCTTTTGAACTTAGTTTTTTTTCCCTTCCTTTTCTTCCATATTCCAATGGAATCACTTGATATCGACCTCATTACACTTTGATATGCTTGAAAACTTTGCAGGGCTTGACAAAACAACCCACAACCTGTCAACCAATGCTCTTTCACATATATAACTGCATCTGCAATGACATGCCATTAGTCGAGCTGTCAGAAAGCTATTCCAATGACTTATTTTTTCTGCCTAATAATACAGGGCCCTTTTGGGATGTCCCATCAGCAAGCACTTGCTCAAGTCACTACTCAGGCTGTTCAGGCTCAAGTTCAAATGCCTATTCTACCAGACTACCCTTCTTCATCAGCTGCTCCTGCAGCACCATATTCACGACTACAGACTACAAATCAACAGATGCCTCCTCAAGCAACTGATCATAATAATATTATGAAAGGGTCAACGGATGTTTCCCATTCTGATCAGAAAATTGAACCTGCTCCCTTTCCCGCTGACAAACCTGCTGATGATGGCTATAACTGGAGAAAATATGGGCAGAAGCATGTCAAGGGAAGTGAATTTCCCCGGAGTTACTATAAGTGTACACATCCAAAATGTCCTGTCAAAAAGAAAGTTGAGCGTTCAATTGAAGGCCAAATAACTGAAATAATATACCAGGGACAACACAACCATCCACCACCTCAAAACAGAAAGGGTGCTAAGGATCCTGGAAACACCAATGGGACCACTGCTCTTCTATGCGGCTCTGAACCGATTTCTGAGGGTCTCACAACAAACATCAACAAGCACAAGGATCAAGAATCAAGTCAAGCTACACATGAGCACGTGTCTGTGTCTAGTGAGAGTGAAGAAGTGGGTGATGATGATGAAACTAAAACAGATAGAAGAGATGATGATGAACGTGAATCAAAGCGGAGGTAATATCTTATTTTCTAAAAGAAGAACAAAAAATGATGACAATAAATTGATGTATTCAAAGATGCTTTAATATGGATTTGTGTTCATTTTGTGTGTGCAGGGCCACAGAAATGCAGGTTCTGGATCCAGCTACTGCATCCCATCGCACGATTATAGAACCCAGGATCATTGTTCAGACTACTAGTGAAGTTGACCTTTTAGATGATGGATACCGGTGGCGAAAATATGGCCAGAAAGTTGTTAAAGGCAACCCTTATCCAAGGTAAACGTGCTGGTTAGTTAGCATTTAATGAAATCCTGTTTGGTAAGTGTTAGAATATAAAACCTTTCATGTGCCTACAAATAGAAGCTTGAGCTTTTGGTTGAGTTGGTTCCTTGACATAGTATCAGAGCATTGATGACCAAGTGGTCACGAGTTCAGAACCCATCGTCACCCAATTTAAAAAAAAATTAAGTTTCACATGCAAGGTTCAAAGTGGTCACGCCTGCACATGGGGAGGCGTGTTAGAATATAAAAGCTTTCATGTGCCTACAACCAGAAGCTTGAGCTTTTGGTTGAGTTGGTTCCTTCATTAAGGCTTAAAATGACTGATGTGGCTAAATCGGCTGCAATTGCTCAAGTTGTGGCTGAAATTAGTTGGTTGACGGAGTATGCTGTGTTTTGAAAAATTATTCTCGTAAAAAATACTACGAGTATGTTTTATTGCAATACAAATATAAAAAATATGCACGAAATAAGATTAAATAGCTAATCCTCAGTAATTAAATAAAATAAACTAGTGAGTGAGTGCTGTCAAGTGTCAACTATGGAGTAAGTTATTAACGAGTTGGGCACATCAACTCTTAGAGGATAGAGGTATACGTACATCTTACTCTAATAGCTGTATTTTTCTAAAATTTTAAAGTTGTACCAAGATGAAAGATAAACTCTGTTTATGGGACGACCTGACAAAGGGAATAAGGCTGGCTGATAAACTAGGGGAAAAGTGGCTATGAATTGCCCACTAAGTAGTATTGCGTTTACAAGCAGCAAAAGCCTCTCATTCATTGAGTTTACAAGTAGTGGCCTCAATTGATGACTCACTTTGCTTAACTTTAAGGATTGATCCAAATTTATAAGATGACAAGAGATAATTCTGATCAAACTCAAACCTCATATAATTCTGAGGTTCTACTAGTGATTTTTAACCCTTCATATGTTCTTAGGAGTCGCATACTCGTTTTTTTCTCTTGCAGAAGCTACTATAAATGCACAAATCCCGGGTGTAATGTTCGAAAACATGTTGAGAGGGCCGCAAATGATCCAAAAGCTGTCATTACGACATACGAGGGTAAGCATAACCATGACGTTCCGGCAGCTAGGAACAGCGGACCCACCACAACAAACAACAATGCTGCCCTGCAATGGAGGCCACACGGCACCGTGGGCCAACAGCAGGCTTCACTTGGGACAAATTATTCTAGGAGTGAGCAGCAAGTGGCACTACTGCAATTCAAAGAAGAACAAATTACATGATCTGTCCGGACTTTCGCACCGGAAGACGCTGAGAAGACAGCTGGCAGCCTACGACTGGTCACCCATAATATATTTATGGCAAAGCAAATCATCTGTTTAGGAAAGGGTTTCACCCCAAAACCTCTGTGAACTCTTAGAAAGGGGTTGTTTGTATGGCTATGGTTATGGTTATTAACTTATTAAGAGTGTGTATTCTTTTCATTGTAAATGTCTTTGTAATTGCAAAAAGCTTTTTTTTCTTTATTTTNTGTATTGGAGGTGAAAAGATGTATTGATTGATCCATTTCAATTCAAACTGATTATGAATATACTTTGAGAAGGTTTGTACACGAACTTTTGACACTAGCGATTATAGCAAGAATTACATTCTCTAACATCTTTTTCCTTCATGTTCATGGGATATGATTAATATTTCATTGTTCCTCTTGAATCTTTTTAGTTTGGCTTTCCCTGTAAATTTTTAAAATTTTGATTACAAATTACAGAAAAATATATTAATTTGTAATGGGGCATGGATCTTTTGACCTTCGAAACCAAGGTCATGTTACTTCTAACCCTACAAAACCCCGCTTTCTCCTACTTGCTTTGTTAAATTGTAATAGGCCAATCAAGGACCTTGATGGTATAACAAACACGTTCCACACTAGTGGGGAAGAACAAAGAGGAACCAAAATAAAATGGTTTAATTAACTTATTAATATGCAATTTTTTGAGAGGTGTCCAAAAATAAATCTTGGGGACTTGGCCTAAAGTACATAATATTATACTTATACCCGGGTGAGTAGATACGCGTGGTTCTAACATGTGGTATCAAAGTCCAGGTTTAGAGCGAGTAGGTGCGGACTGGATTGTGCTGAGTTCTTGATATAACGGTGTGCCAACATGACAAGACCAAAGGAGATCTACGGATGGTGTCTTGTGTTGTGCGAAATTCCTCGGTTTGTCAACAGAAATAAGAGCGGAAGAGTGGCCTAACGAAGTAGGAATCTACAGTTGATGCCTTGTGTTGAGAGTATTCTCAACAAGAGCAAGTGGTCAGGCGGCATGCCCCAGAGGATCATTGTAGCGGTGCAAAATGGTACATAAATTAAGAACTTTTAATAATTAGAGAAGGTCACAAAGTTATGTTGTCATTACCTGAAAGAAAGTTTGCTGGGTATAGTAAAACCATCCCACACCAATGGAGGGGAGGTCACAAAATTGTGTGGTCCTTGTTTAAGGCAAGGTTTGTTCCGCATAACAAACATGTCTCGCTAAACTAATTCAACCAAGTGATTAGTATAAAGTCTTTTAGAAGCTATCCAAGAATAATCATGCAAGTGATTGGTCTAAAACAAACACTACTATACCAATGTGAGGTTGTGGTAATAAAAGCCGAGTGGGTATACGCACGACCCTAAGAGAATCTAATATTCCAATTACTCCGTATTAGATCTCCTATAGGATCTATAGCTGTGAATGTCGAACAAGAGTGCTTTTACTAGATCGACGTTAGAAAAATGATCTTGACATGGACGACATGTGGAATACTAGTTTTGGCACCATTTTTACCACCACACCTTCTCATAGACACAAATGATATTTGCGAGTCAGGTAATCCAACATGAGATACTCTATTTATACGCTAAAGTAATACTAACACACAGACACACAAATATTATGCGTCTGTGTTTTACAAATGGGATACCCTATGCTCATAACCCTAGCATTGTCCTTTCTTTTTATCCTATTTGTATTATGTATCCGTGTCACTGCATAATGTCCAGAGGAGCCCAATTCATTTATCCCAACCTGAGGAGGTTGTTGAAGGTTTTGAGCATTAAATAAAGAGCATTAAATGAGATTGGTAAATAATTAAAGGCAGAGTGGGCAAGCCTAGCTAGATTGACTGGTGTCGTAGTGTGACACATGGTTTGTTTGCACATTCCAAACCTCGAAACCAACGTGCTTCAAACCAAACAAATATACTTGTCTTACACCACTTGTCTACCATTTGAAATTTAGATATTTTACCTGTCGGTGGACGTTGCGTAGTTGACAAGACAAGAGTGTCAAGAAGTAAGACTCGAGTTTAATTCCTGGCAACTATGCTAAGTATAGGGGCTCTGCAAGTACCAGGTGCATGCTCCACTCTTTGCCACCAATCTGCGATTAAAGTCTAATTTATCTTCTCTTAGTGACCCTCCGACCGAGTCTGAGAGCCCTCATCAGGGATGGGGCTCATCCTGTTTTTTTAAATAAATATTCTACCTGCATAGATAGCTTAAATGGTTCTCGTGGAGGATGTTCAACTTGATGTTTCGAGATCAAATCTCGATAGCAGTAATGCGTGAGTTTTATCCAATGTAATACGGAGTATTCCGTAACTTTTTGTACGCACTAGGCACGAGACAACCTTTCTAAAGACTAGATTGATAAAAAAGTATCCCACATCAAAACTTGTAGAACAAATAAATTGGTATATATGTTTTTTAGTTAAACTAAATAATTTTTTAATGTGATTCAACCTAAGTGTCGTATTATTCAATCAGTTAGGCCGTTATAACTTTGTTGGGTCGGAGTGTGAGTGCACGTGGGGTGGACGTTCCACACTTCCACCCATCAAATTTAAATTTTTTTAATTAAGAAAATGTAAAATTGGGTTGTTGAGATTTATGCACAAAAAATAATAATGTGAATTATTCAATGTTTTCTTTTCGGATTTTGACAAAATATACCTTAAAAAGATCAAAAAAAGATAAATAAGTTTGTTTTAAGACAAAATTTTAAATACTCCAATTTCCCAATTTAAGCTGCACCAAGACGGATATAAAACTCCTATGTTCAAAATAGAAGTAAAATATAACTCTTATATCTAAAATAGAAGTAATAGTTTTTATTCTAAAAATAGAATTATTGCATTGTGATATTATATGTTGGCTAAAACAAATATGAGTAGACTAAAATGTTTTTTGATGTTATATATTGGAATCATAAGTCATATTTAAGGATAAAAACATGAATACCCTCTTTGATTCTCTCGCTCTCTGTTTTGCTCATATTTGTCCTTCTCCTTATATGGGAACATAGTCGAAAGCATGAAAACGCTAACTTTTTCTAAGGGCCTGTTTGGGAATAGCGTTAGAGATTAGCGTTAGCGTTTTGGATAAGATTTTAACGGTGCAGATTACTTTGAAAACGCTAACGCTAAACGCTGGCCGTAGATAGCCTTTTCAAAACGCTAACGCTAATCTCTAACGCTATTCCCAAACAGGCCCTAAATTCATAAAGAGTTTGTGTTAGAATATAAGAAACATTTCTTTGGCCACAACCACAAGCTTGAGCTTTTGGTTGAGTTGGTTTCTTGACATGGTATCAGAGCCTTATCGACTAAAAGGTCACGGGTTCGAAACTCAACGTCACCCAAATTAAAAAAATTAAGGTTTCACGTGCAGGGCTCGAAAAAGACTACGCCTGCACGTGAGGGAGCGTGTTAGAATATAAGAAACATTTCCTTGGCCACAACCACAAGCTTGAGCTTTTGGTTGAGTTGATTCCTTGACAGTTTGGGTATCGAGTCGTCCTCAAATTTCTAGTTGGAGACGTTTTGGAGAAAACATGCGGCACTTATTTGAGGAATCAGTGCAATATAGTTTACCATTTTTATTAAGAAAGTTGATGCATTACTAGTAACAACCACATTTAAACTCTACTTTGGTTAAGTTTAAATCCTTTCCAAACCATAAACTCATTTTTTTTAAATTTTTTTCTGGGTAACACTATATATATATATATATATATATATATATATATATATATATATATATATATATATATCCATGCACACTAGATATAAATCTTTGACTGTTTTCCATTTTGTGTCTCTTCTTTACCAACAGAATATGCTTCATGGGTTAACCTCATTTGCTTCTGTGTTTGTAAAGGTATTGATGTCAAAAATGGAGTCAAACTTGGAATGATAATTCATTTTTTTACAACATGAAATAACAAAAGAAATGTTCATCTCAAATAAACATTCGAATACTTCCTCCGTCCAAAAAATATATTTCCGTTACGCGTTATGGCGTTGAATTAATAAATAAAGGTTAAATATTTAAAAACAACATCGAAATATCTACATATCTATTGGCGACATGACTATATATTATTTTATTAGATGAGCAATGAAAATAAGACAACAAAACAAATAAAATTTGACTTTGTAAATTGTAAAAATGAAGATAATTTCTAGACATATGGATTAATAAAATAGAAAAGACTCAAAAAAATTCACTTTCATATTTTATTTCTGGAGTTTTTAATGTTTTATAAATACAATTGGATAATAATTGATCTTATTGAATAATAAGAATTATATATATGTGTGTGTGTAGGAAATATAATTAAGTAGAATCCTAATTATAATAGAATAAATATTTATGATAATGGTAGAATAAAGAAAGTAAATAATAATAATGTTTTTGTATCTGTTGGTGACAGAAGAAAGAAGCCGGATTGAAGAAGGAAACAAATCCTTTGGAATATCTTTCCTAGTTTGTTTAGTTCTTCTTTTAGTTGGAATAGAAAAATGGTAGGAATAGAAATTTACTTATATGTTTTACACTCTCTTCATCTATAAAGAGGGTTAGACCTTTGTACAGTATCATATTATTTCACTTTTGGATATCTAATAACCTTTTTTCATAACTAGAAGGGTATTGCGCTTAGAGTTAATTATTCGAAGAATGTTTGGTAGCTACCTAATTAAACTCAATTAGATCCCAAGAAAAAGTAGCTCGATAATAGTCAAATTAAGAGATTATATTTTCCAATGAAAAGTGATTCGTTATGTCGATGGATTATTAGTCCATCATCAGATTCAATTATCCATTTAGAGAGTCAAATTTTATATTTGTTCTTTACATAATTTATTTGATAATTTGTCCATGGAAGAATGTAAATTAGGACTTTAGAGTTTATATCATTTTTTTTGAAGAGTCAAATTCATAGAGTTTGATCACATTGACAGAAATTATTTCAACTTTTATTTTGTATGATTTATGTAATAATTTTTTAATTAAACATATGAATTTAATTATCGTATTAATTTTTAGAAAAAGTTAAATTGAAAACAAATTTTTTCAATCAACATATATCAAATTTGTGTGAATATTACCGCTAACTTCATTCTTTTTTGGGACGATGAAGGTGAAATCTCCGGTACATACAAAGGATGAGCTTCATTCCCGAGAGTCCCTTCAGACTCGACCAGATGATTGAGGTAATTTGAACTTTAATCTTAGATTAGTAACCGTGGAACCTGCACCGCTACACGGTACACACAAGAAATGGTGAGGTGTTGGTGAATGTTGCACAGTTAGCAATGTAAGATTCGAGTTCGATTTCTTACAACTACGCTTGAAGGCAACTATGCTAAGGATAAACCTCTATAAATACAAGCCTACAAGGTGCAAGTTTCATTCTATTCTATTAATCTGCTATTAAAATTTAATTTTAGTAATTCTCGAAACCATTGCATCGAGGGGGGGGGGGGGGGTCTTTCTGAGCTAAAAACAGCTACAGACCAGCAATCTCTGCCCCTCTTCCAAAAGTCTCCTTCTCAAGAACCGATAACTCTCTCTCTCTTTCTCTTTCAAAAAAGTTAAAGAAACTAGAAAGGAAAAATACCCAAAAGCTATTTCTGTAGTTTGAAGGTCAAAAACCTCAAATTCTCGCTCCTCTCTCTCCAACTTCAATGTGTGCAAATGTGGGTGTGAAATACCCTCGCCACGAACCCCTTTCTACTTAATAGTTAAAGTTTTTATTTTTCTTCTTCTTCTTCTTCTTCTTCCCCCCCTTGAGCTTTTCCTTGTGCTGTTGTTTCTTTCTTGGTATTGTTCATTTGTGCCCTCTTTACTTCTTCCCGTCAAATGATTAAGCCCATATAAAGTGGGAAATGTGGGATTTGCTTTCTTTGTGCGGTTGAGTTCCTAATTGCTCTTGCTTTTTCAATTTCCATGAAAACAAGGGGAAAGTGGAAATAAAGAAAGAAATTAGTGGGTTGAGATTTTGCCCTTTCCTAATTCTGCATTTTTTTACTGCAACATTTTCTTCCCCACACACTATCTTTAATCTGAGAAAATGAGGAAGCATGGGTGGCAGCTTCCCTACCATCCTCTCCAGGTCTATCTCGATCCCCATTACTTTTCTTGATTTTTTTTTAAAATTTTGTTTTCTTATGGAATTTTGACTCTTGAGTTAACATTTGTTTGAATCCAGGTGGTAGCTGTTTCTGTGTTTCTGGCATTGGGTTTTGCCTTCTATGTGTTTTTTGCTCCTTTTGTGGGGAAGAAATTGTTTCAGTACATTGTGATGGGGATCTATACACCTCTTGTAAGTAATGTTAAGATCTTCTCCCCCATTTTCTTGGCCTTTTACACATTTGGGTTATTTAGATCTGTTCTTTATTCAAGCTCATCTGCACTCTGCTTGACTGAAAGTAATGTTCAATTCATAGTTTTTGCACTGAAATATACCCATGGGCCGATTCGGGGGGTTTCTGAAGAAAAAAAAGTTAATTGTTAGGCCGATTTGGGAGTGACCGGAGTCTTACTGGATTTTGACTTAGGGACTGAAGGGCTGTTGCCATTTGATCTCAGTTTCATTTCCCAAGTACTTTCTTGACTGTTTTATTCTGAAAAATGGAAACTTGTTGAGAAATCAAGTGTCATCTCTCATCTACGTGACGAACACACACGGAGTAATGGATGTGAAGCACTTTTGTTATGCAGTTATGTGGCTAGATGAAGATATTGCACGAATTAATTCGTATATTTCTTTTGTTTCTCTCATAGATTATTGCTGTGTTTGGATTATATATACGCTGTGCTGCCGCGGATCCTGCTGATCCGGGAGTTCTCAAGTCCAGAAAGTACCTCAAGATTCCAGACCATAGAAAACATGCCAAGGGCAAGGATTTTAAACTAGGGATTGAGTCAAGCTCATCTATAAATGATGGGGAGAAAACTTTTGTCAAAACAAAGGAAGCTCAAGCAGCTGCTGCAGATCAGGCTTCTCAATCTGAAGCAAAACTTGGGGGTTCTTCTCGTCTTCCAGTGTGCTTTTCTGTGCTGTTGCCTTTACTGCCTTGCGCTTCTAAGTGCTGCTCGAATGGACATGAAGAGTCTTCTGATCGGCATGCAAGTGAAGAAGGCATGTTCTATTGCAGTTTGTGTGAAGTTGAGGTGGGTTCTTAAACATGCATTTATTTGGGATCCGTTGAATGAAATCGGTCCTTCAGGGACTATTTGTGGAAAAAATATTTTGTCATATTTGGCCTAAATGTCTATTTATGGAATAGTTTTCAAAAATTGAGGACCATTTTTATAATATCTTAGAATTGGGGACTAAACAAGTAAACAGGGAAAACCACTTGTATTTAGGGACCATTTATGGAATTTACTCTTCTATTTAAGTGTAAATTCACGCAAAAAAAAAGCAGTGGAAAGGTTTTATGCCGGATTCCCTTCTTTCCACAATCTTCTTACACAAGAACACAAATGCCATCAAATCCATAGCTCTTCTCCACTTGCATAGTTTCATAGAAGATGACAAGTAAGGGCAATAAGCTGTTAGTCTTATTTTCATGTTCATTGCAAGATTAGTGCTGTGAAGTCATCATGCAAATCATGAAACAATTAGTTAGGGATGAAATGAAATGTTGAATCTTTTTTGAAAACAAAAGAATAGTATGTTGTTACTCCCTCCGCGCAAAAAATATATTTCTGTATGAGTTAATTGTTTTTTTAGTCAATTCAATCAAGGTACAAGCTTTTATACGAATGGTCACTTATACCTGTGACACTTATATGTAATACTTCGATCAAAGATTGCTCGGACTACTTGACTGAAACTGTTTGCCTCTTGGCTTTACATAAACTCTACTTGAAAATGAAAGTGGACTTTTAAAACCAAACTTTTTTCTCGGGAAAAACAGTTAATGCAACATAGGATGAGGTGAGTATACATTCACTATGTGACTTCGTTTACAATCCTCTTGCAGGTGTTCAAATACAGCAAGCACTGTAGAGTATGCGATAAATGTGTTGACCGATTTGATCACCATTGCAGGGTAATTATCGCATTGTATAATCTGAATCTTAACCTCATACAACACAACAGATCCTTGAATTTTTACCCCCCCACCGTGATATTTTGTTGTAGTGGCTAAACAATTGTGTAGGGAAGAGCAACTATAGGAAGTTCTTCACCCTCATGGTCTCTGCTCTTCTATTGGTACGTATAACCGTTTTCTTCATCGGGTCTTAATACAAAGTCACCATTCTCATGTCTCCGTGTAGACCTTACCCCTACTTTGGAGTAAGTGACATATATCAGAACAATTCTACATTTGACCCCAACCACATAAACGGCCCATTCTACCCTTATCTTCAAAAACTCTAGTCATTTGGTTGGAGTGAATGGAAGGGTGTACTGGACTTTTTATGTGGTGGTGGAGACAGGTAGGGGGGGGGGGTTAAACTTGGGTCCACAATACTCCAGTCTCGTGGTCTTTTCGGGACAAAAGTATCCAAAGTTGAGGGTGAGCTTCAAAAAATGGTTTTTTTTTTTCTCAAAGACATTTTCTTGGAGTATTTGATAAGGAATTGACAGGTCTACACACCTTGGACTTGAGATTGCAGCTTATACTTCAGTGGTCAATTGGAATCCTTGTTATGTTCTTGTGCTTTGTTGAGAAGAAGAGATTCTCCGCGGACATACCCTCTAAGCTAGGAAGCAGTTTCTCCATGGCTCCTTATGTCATTGTCGTGGTGAGTATTCATGCAACTTCCTCACCCCTTAGGGTGTGTTTGGTTGGAACTACTTGGACAAGATGGGAGGGAGCGTTTCCCCTCCCCCTTCCCTCCGTCCAACCAAACATGCCCTTATGGTCGTGGCGATTGAGTTGTTCACCAAATTGTTTGCCTTAATGACAGGGGGTCTGCACCATATTGGCTATGCTTGCGACACTCCCACTGGCTCAGCTTTTCTTCTTTCACATACTTCTCATCAAAAAGGTCAGATTCCCTTTCTTACCTTAGGTCTTGTTTGGTAAGGCTGCAATGTGATATAAAATCTCATCGCATTACATTGCGTCTCCCCAAACGACGTCTCATTGTGTCGTGAAAGGTGACTGACAAGATGTTTTTTTTGACAACCAAAGGGACTCAGCACGTACGATTATATAATGGCTCTGAGAGAGCAAGAACAACAAGGGATTGGAGGGAATCAAAGTCCTCAGTTGTCCACGGTTAGCTCCATAACGGGGTTGAGCAGTGTAAGCTCCTTCAACACCTTCCATCGAGCATCTTGGTGTACGCCCCCGCGCCTCCTTCTTGAGGACCAGGTATATATATATACTCCCTCCGTCCCAGTGTATTTGTCCAGTTTGCTTTTTTTGACTCAAGCTCGATGAACTTTGATCTTCAGTTAAATGAAAACCGTAATGTGTTTTAGCATAAAAATTATTTTATTTGATTTATCTTATCAAGAACTTTCAAGATTGTATTTCATTATACTATTATGCCATACAAATTGAGAGTAGTTGAAGCTCAAACTTTATCAGGCTTGACTCGAAAAAATCAAACTGGACAAATCCACTGAGATGAGAGTAGTATTGTTCACGTTCTCATTTTTTTAAAGTTTACATGGAAGACTCGAGCAAACAGACGTTGCTTTGTGGCACGTGAGGAGACGTGTTATAGTATAATAATAACCTTTGTGGGGCCATATTGGGTTTGGTTAACACCACATTTGACACCATCCTTACAAACATTCACAATCACGAAACAGTATCGAATGTTTATGGTTTTAGAGAATGTGTTTAATGTAGTTTCGATTGCACGCAGTACGATGTGGCTCCTCCTCATCATCATGACAACGCGTCCGTGAGCTCTTTTGGGAAAAAGACGGCGGGGGTGGGCGAGGAGGCAGCGAAGAATAAGCACGTGAGCGCGGTGAAGATAAGTCCGTGGACGCTGGCGCGGATGAACACGGAGGACATCTCAAAGGCCGCTGCCGAAGCGAGGAAAAAGTCAAAGATTCTTCACCCAGTTGCCAGACAACAACACCAGAAACCGCGTCACGGTCTCGACGACGAGGATGACGAAAACGCCCCTAACGACTACAGTCTCCGGCACCCGCGTCTCGAAAGCAACAACAGGACGCCGCCGCAGAGCAAGCACGTGCGGGTCCCACCCGAGACATCGACGAGCTTGGCCCCGCTGCATTTCGAGCCTTTTCACACAAATCCGAGACGGGGCTCGGTGTCCAGCTCAGACAGCAGCGTGGAGCCCTCCTCCCCGGATATCCCCCACCCTTTCAGGGCGGCTTCCGGCGGAAGGATTACGGCGGCAGCAGCCATGAAAGAAATCTCATTTTCCAGGTCAACTAGCGACGGGTACGAGGCGTCAGGTGGGGAGGACAGTGACAGAGTCCCGGCAAGGTTTGCCGGTAGGCTGGTGGGGCCGCCGTCTTCGGCGGCGGCGGCGGCAGCCCAAGCTGACAGCAGGATGCTCTGATGACAAAAGGAAACTCTTTTTTACTGTTTATTCGCCGAGATTGATCCCGCCGGGAAAATGGGCAGATTCATCTCCTTCAAATCTATCAATTCATCAGTTCAACCCATTTGTACATCAAGTTTGATGGGGGGTAAAGTGGGGAGAGGATACAGCACATATTTTTATATCTTTATCTGTTTTGTTCACTGAGGGGGAGATGCTGAAATTATGTTGTCTTACTGTGTTTCTTGAAGTAATCCATGGAAGAAGAAGAAGAAGAATGTATGTATGGGTGGGGAGTTTTCCATTTCTATGGATTTAACCACAAAAACTAGAGATTAGGGACCAATGTAATGAACTCTCTTTCTTGTTTTGTGCACTGATTTATTTGTTTTATTTTTTGGTTTATTTTTTGTTTGTTTTTTAGGATGTGTTTTGCATAATTAGTAGAGGAATTACTTAAATAGTGTAAAACATAGCCTTTTTTCCTTAAATAAGACCATATCTTTTAATTTTCATTAAATAATACGGATAAATATCAATGGTTAGGCCCGCTATACGGACCGGGTTTGAGCTTTAATTGTTAGGTCTGCTTTACGGGCAAGGCTGGACTCAGACTTAGAAAATTTTTGTAATGTAGCATTTCGACTTGGCCCGTATCTTGATCAGGTCTATTACTTTTATATTCAAGGTCTTTGAACCTAAGAAGAGAAATAACAATGTCTTAGCATTAAACATTTGAATTGTTCTCTATTGTCCACGATTTCAGTATACACCACAATAACAATGTCCAACACCCTCTTAAAAGTGTCTAGTGCAATAAATTCACTAATGTCCATTGTAAGAAGACATCAGAATTGGAAATGTCTATTGATTACTCATTGATGTCCAACCACGGAAAGAGAGACAATGACTGTAATTTTTTGAAAGTGAGACGGTAAAACAACGGACGATGGATAGGGGACAGGAACAACACGCAAGCTAGGAAAGACTGGGTGACGCATAGCAGTAGCTTTGAAGGAATGTGCATGGGGTGGGGGTGGTCGTGTGAAAGAAGAACGAAAGAAAGAAGAAGGTAGTAAATAGAAGATAAATGTTATATATGGAAAGTTACTCATGTTTTCATTATACATAAAAACAATGTCATTTTTGAATGGAAAGAACATAGAGGGACGGGGGTGTAATTATTTTAAAAGGAAAAATAATTTATTAATTACACTTTGCTAAACATTGTAACTAAATAATATACTTGGTGAGTAAAAATGCATCAAAATGTGAGTGTTATAGCTTCTTGATTTCTTTTCAAAGTACTCTATGCAAGTTGATGACAGCTCTCTCCTTTTCACTACACTTAACTTTCTCCCTGATCCAGATTACATACGAGTTTCATTTCTCGGCATGGAGAAGGTATGCTTGAAATTCTCATCTAAATATCCTTCTTGACAGCTCTCTAATCTGGCAAATTTGGGTGATTGTTGAACTTGTTGATCCCTAATTGAAGTTTCCCGGGGGAGTTAAATCCATCCACCATGGAAAACCCCGTGGACTTAGACCCAGATCTTCAGAGTTTCGAATCGGAAGTAGAAAACAGTAAGCCAAGATCCGATCCGGATTTCCATTCCACGAGCGCGCTTGAAATTCTGAGAGAAACAGTGCGGGTTCTTCGGTACAATTCGTCTGGGTTCTTATCGATCATGGCGGTGTTGGTTTTCCCGGTCTCCGGCTTCCTTTTGTCCAATGTCTTCGTTAATCAGTCCCTCGTGAAGAAACTCACAGTGAGGCTCTTGGTGCTTGTGAGATCCAGTGGAATTTCACTGGGGCCTTTTGTCGAACAGTTTGCCCGCAAGTCTTCGGAAATGGTGGTGGAAGCCGCAGTGTCTTTCCCACTGTGTGCAACACTCTTCTTGCTCTCCAAAGCTGCCATTGTTTACTCCGTTGACTGTACTTACTCGCTGGAGCAATTCTATTCTTTGAAGTTCTATGTGATGATGACCCAGATCTGGAAGCGAATCATCTTCACTTACTTGTGGGCATGCACTGCCATTTCAGGTTGTTTCACTTTGTTCCTCGTGGCCATTGTTGCTATAACCACCTTGGTTTCTATGTTGGGGTTTCCTCCAAATCTCATCATATACCCTCCAATTGTACTCGGAGTGATCTTCGCAATACTCCTAGCGAATTGTATAGTCATTTGCAACATTGGAATTGTGGTTTCGGTGTTGGAAGATGCATTCGGGCTTCAAGCATTGCTCCGGTCCGTTTCCCTCATCAAGGGGAAAACACGGGTTGGCCTTCTTGTGTGTTTTGGAATGACGGTCGGGTTGGAATTCGTGAAGGGCTTGTTTGATCGAAGGGTGAAGACTCTGAGTTATGGGGATGGGTCTTCAAGGCTATGGGAAGGGCCACTTTTGGTGATCATGCACTCATTCTTGCTGCTTTTGGACACCATGATGTACGCCGTTCTCTACTTCTGTTGTAAATCCGGTGGAACCATGGAAACCCGTGATGAAGAAGAGAGTCGACCGATTTTGGATGCCACGAAATCTCCTTCGACATCAACTGAAGTCCAATGAACTCTGCAAGTTTGGTAAACGTGTGTTGTGTGTATTAGATAGAACCCATAGAAGACACTTGCAGCAATGCATCAATGGTCTTGCAGAAAACATTCTTTCTGTTTTTACATGAGTAAGACTGTGCACATCTTCTTGACCCATAGATCTCAATGGAGTTGAGGACATTGTTGTTGTGTACTATACACAAGACTTCTCATGTGGCATCATTAGATTTCTTGAAAACGGGACCCGCTCAATACGTCGTGGAAGAACAAATCTAACGGTGCCACATAGGACATTGTCTGATTGTATATAGACGGTTATGTCCCCACAAAATTTCAGTTTTGAACCTGAAAAAAGTATCTGTATTTGGGCATTGGATTTGGGATTAGGTTCAAGTAGGTGTTTCTTTCTTTTGTTAGCCCAAGTGAAAATGTTGGGTTTTGTGATAAATATATATATATATGGTGTTTCCCTTTTTCCCAAGAAGGGAGAATGTAGATCATGCAAATTGATATTTAAAAAAAAAACATTGTCTTGATTAAGCTTAACTGGTCATATTATTATGGGATGCATAGTTGACTTTTTTTTCTTGTGCAAGTTTAAATCCAAAAACCTAACTTTATCCATTACAAAGTGGTGAGGTAACATATATTTGGATTTATGGGAGAAGGATGGTCTACACACACTATCACATATGTCTACTTTTTCTTTTGAATTTGTTACTCCATATATATAAAAATATACTGTTTATTTTATTTAAAGAAAAAAAATTGATGAACTTAATTTTACACTCAGTGTAATATACTTGAGAGTCTATCTATTTTTTAGTAGGAATACACACACCCCCCCGAGACTCTACTCTGATGAGATTCAACTGAGTTGTTGTTAATTAAATGTGAAAATTTATTTTGTTTATTTTCATTAAATGTAAATGGTAGCAAGGCAAATTGAACAATTGTCGATTAGCATCCAAAACATCAAAATCTCACCTAAATAAACATTTTCATTAAAACACACGAGTCATGAAAAAAGTAATATTTTTCCTATTTTTAGTTACTTGCATTTTTTTTTAATTTTCATTTGGCCTAGGGTCTATAAAATCTCAAAGATGGCACTGGCCTTATACGGAGTATGTATTATCTCTGCTCACAGAAGAGGTTGTGCAATTAAACTTTGTTCATACCAACTTTGAAATCAAAGAAAGATTTTATCCAATAGTTTACTAACACAATTTTATACTCCCTCTCTCCCAAAAAAGATTAAAATAATTTAATTTTTTCGGTTAAACTACATAACACTTTGACAACAAATCATGGAAAAAATATATTTTATTATAATGTAAATTTGGTAAAATTAGATTTAAATTATATTTAATTCGTGGTCAAAAGATATCAGCGCTTGATTAAAAAAAATCAAAATGTTACAACTTTTTGGGACAGAGAAAGTATATATAATCATTCTTGAATGTACATGAAGGTACTTCATCCGTTCACCAAAGTTCTTTAAATTTCGTTTTTGAGTGCTTCTATGGTGCACCTCGAGTACATATCATTTTTGTGAACCTTGTCACATAAAAAATCTTTTTTTATTTTTTATATTAAAAAAACATATGTTTATCTAGGTAATAAAAAATGCGTATTTTGCTCATACGTAGGTCCATGATGGACCTTAGGTCCACCATAGAATTTACCTTCGTTTTTACATACAAAATCTCATCTTTTTTAAAAATGATTTTATTTACAAATTGGTATAAATATTACTCCCTCTATCCTAAAATGTTCTTCTTAGTTACTATTCACACGATCAAACTTAAATCACTTTCTTTACCTATTTTCGTTAGTTATTTGATAAAATAATACTCTTGTCACCTCTTGTTTTCTAAAACTTTTGATGTAGTTTTTAAATATATAAATTTTATTTTTTAATTTTACACTTACATTAAATAAATTGAATTGAAAATAAAGTCAGTCAAACCTCGTAAACACAAACGGGAAAATGGTTTAGGACGAAGGGAGTAAAAGTAAAACTTTGATATTTAAAAACTGCCGGAATTTATTAAAAGTTCTACAAAATAAGTGGTAACAAGAATATTTTATTTTATCAAATTATTATAAAAAATACACACAAACAAAAATTATTGAGCACCTTTGAACAGTAAACAAGAATGGTTTTAGTGAACGGAGGGATTTTTTTTTAGAAAAATACTAGTTTGACTCGAAGATTTGAACCCTACCTTTAACTCCACCCTCACAAATCTTACGGACATTCACAAATATTTGACATTATTTCGTGTCTGTGAATGTATATAAGAGGTGAGATTAAAAACTAGGATTCAAGTCATGGGCCCTCAAGCATAATCCTTATTTTTATGTGTAAGTGTGACATATTGTGTCAAATTTAGTGGAGTCACCATTAAGTGTTACCTCTTAAAAATTTTCATTAGAATAGGTATATCATTTGATCTACCTTATTTGTACGCACTTGCCAGTGGATGTTGTTCAATGGGCAAAGACAAGAAGTGATAAGGAGGTAGGACCCAAGCTTGATTTTTGTCAACTGCGTTAGAAGATGACTATGTTAAACATTGGGTTTCCGCAAGTATCAGGTGCAGGCTCTACTCTTTGTCACCTATCTGTTATCAAAATTTAATTTACCTCCTTTTAGTAACCAACCATTTGCCTTGATCTGAGGGGCCCTCGGGATAATTTATCAAATGCACACTTGTGGTGTATAATTTAGAATATAAATTTTGGGGTACAAATAGCTCAATCCAATCCCTCCTAAAAAAAAGACGAGTACTAAGAGAACCCTACTAAGAATACACCAAGTATTCAACTGAAGGGGGTGGGGGTGTGTTCGGGTCGGGGCGGGGGTGGGGAGTTTACGGGGGAAGAAGTTATGGGATAGGAACTGTCAATTTTACGAAAAGAGAGAGGGAGGGTTTCTTCTTCTTTTTACAATTGAAATTAGCTACCAGGTAAACTATAACTAATTAGACTGAAAACGTTAATACTGAGAATCCTAGCAGTAAAACATTAGTTTCCTAATACTGTCAGCAAGTTGGGGCAGTGGCATTGTCTTGGAGGGCGCAGCTCGAGTGACCCCAGAGTTTGTAGGACGCTGGAGATACAGCCTGCCCCTATACGCCGCCAGGTGCGCGTAGTACACAGGCGGCACAAGCGACACCGGCTTGGTGCACCTCACGGAGGTGTAGCAGAGGTTGTACACCAGCCTCTGCAACTCGTCCGAGGTGAACCGGTTTTCGTCCCACAAAACGTGGTAATGGACCGGCCGACTCGTCCCCTTTGCCCCTCCCCAGTGACTGCACAGATAAAAGTCGAACTCCGTCGGGTGCGTGATCACCGTGTCCACCACCGTGCCCGGCGGCACGTTGCTCTCTTTCACTAATTCGTCCGCCGGAAACAACCGCGTGTGGTGCCTCTTTTGGACGACCGCGAATGTGATGGGTGGCTTGTAGCCCGGGAACCTGGAACAGGCGGTTCGTATGGCCTTCAGCTCTTTCTGAAGGACTCTGGCGAATTGGGATTCACTCACTCCGTCCCTGAAGAAGACGATCCTCTTCGGGAGGAGGAACATCTCGTCGTAGAAGTCGTCGAGGATCTCGCTCACCATCTCGCTGAGATCCTCGATGATTTCCTGCCTGTGCGTCTGGGACCGCATCCTCGACGCGTACTTGTTGGACTCGGGCCAGTTCAAGCTGCCAACCACGGCAGCGACCGAAGGGCTCGAGTCGTCCAGCGGGTGCGGATGGGTGACATCCGCACCCATGAAGATGACCGGGTCGTCGGGCTTGAAGAGCCTCGGCACCTGGGCTGGCAACGGGTTGAGGAGCGCAACGGTGGACCCCCCGAGCTTGGCGTTGATCTTCAAAGCCAAGTTCGCGAGGAAATGGGAGGAGAGGCCGGCAAGGTTCGGGTACAAACAACATTGCGAAACCACGCCGATCCTGGTCTCGGCGATCCGTTTCAAGTCCCCATACCCTTTGTGTTTCTTCTCCATCACACAGATCAAGAGCTGCAGATGATTCTTCTCCATTTTCTTGAGCTTGGATTCCAGCTGCTTGGCATTGTTGAGCAAGTGCATTGGCTCAAACTGTGGGATGAGTGCCATGGTCTTGTTAAGGAAGATGCCTAACTGCTCACATTTTTGAGACAGTTGGTTTACAAACTTTGGTATGTGGGACTTTTGATTGTGGGTCCCACCAAAGCTTATCAGGGCCCACCTCTCGACGCGGGTTCCTTTGAATACGTGGTGGCCTTCTAGAAGGTTCCACTGTCTGTCGCGCCGAGAGGGGACCAGGTTCTTTACGTGTCCGTGGTCCCCGAGTTTCAGTCTCGGAGGGAGGAAGACTCTCCCTTGCAGTCGCGTCATTTCTCTGGATATTCGAATCTTGAACTCTTCTCCTTGATTTCCACTGTCAGCATAAGACACTTAGCATAAGACACTTGGATCAAACCACACTGGAAAAAAAAAGATTGACTAAAAAAATAAAGAATAATACCTTGTGGGTCCGACGGGTCCGGTCATGACTCCATCTATGATGGCTTTTCGTTCCCTTGGTCGTCGACACCCCATTTTGAGAATGCGGGCAGTCTGGTCATCGGAGAGCTGCCCGAGAAACTTCTGCCCTTCACAAATGACACATAACTCCATTGGAAGATAGCAAGGCTTGCCTCTACTTGTCACCAAACAAGGCAAATTCTTAAACTGTATGTCATAGTTGTAATGATCTTTGAAATAGTTCACTAGCCTTTTACTCGTTCCATCCCTGTCGCGAAACCAAAGATCATCTGTTACATCTTCAGTTAAGCTATAAACGCGATACTTTTGGACGGTTTCTCTATGGCAAACAAACACCCTAATGTTCTTTAATGCCTTCTCCACTTCTTTCCTCTCTTCACTTGTCAACTTCATTGTCTTCTTCATATTCAAGAGATTGTGCAGAAAGTGTAGGCGCTTTTCCAAGTAAGGTATCACTCCTATACTCTCGTGGAAAGCTGTTACCGATAAATCGACATTGAGAGCAAGGCCTTGTTTGGTTGGTCTAAGACTCTGAAAGAATCCCCTCAACGCCACGGCTCCTCCTCCTATCTCCTCAGCCCCTCCCATTGAGCTCGAGTAAAACGATTTCCCGGATGCCAAACAATTCTCGGTTGGGCTTTCCCGAAGCACGACATCTAGCGCGTGGAGATATTCCTGAGGAAGCGGGGCCCACTCGTCGCGGTCCCTTTCATTGTTCAAGTAGCTCTTGAGCTTCATTCCATCAAGTTTGGACACTAGTTTGATGTTGACTCTAAACATCTTGGGTGAATTTGCCCCATTTAAAGGGAGATTGATGTAGAGCTCAATCCTGTCATCCTGGAATTCAACTGGACTGTATATGGTTCTTCTCCCATCGTAGACCGGGTTGAAACCAGACACGACAGATGAGTGGTTCTCCACAATGTTCTTCTTGATCATTCTTGCAATTTCCTTGGATGGGGTAGGGGAGATTTCGACATCGTAATGGAAAATCCTTTGTGACGGGTCGAATTGAACGAGGAAATGGTTGGCAAGCAAAGGGATTACGTGCCCTTCCATGCCACCAGAATCTGGTCTTCTTGCCATCACCATTGACTCTGGAGTTGCAGCCATCACCTTCATTCTCCCATTCTGCTTCTCATCATTTATTTGAAGTGCCCTCATTGAATCTGCTTCATGTTGATTTGTAGACATTAAAACCCAAACTGAATAGTGAATACCATTCAAAATCTTCAAGAATCTCTTTTTTTAATTTAAAAAAAATCATCCCATTCCAGATTTCAAGAATCCATTTTTAAATGCGAAAAAGTACCAGTCAAGATTTCAAGAATCCATTTTGTTCTTTAGTTATCAAGCTTAAGAGATTTCAAGATTCCATTTTTTCCTTTAGTTTTCAAGTTTAAGGGGTACTCAACAGAAAAGAAGAAGAGGGAAGCATAGATACATAGGGATACAAATAGTTTTTCCCTGTAGAGAACTGCTGCTATCACCTTTCCTGTTTACTACACAGAAAGTTCTTTTTTTTTGTTCTCAATAAAAAAAATGAAACACTACATAAAAAAAGGCAAGGAGTATATTCCAAGAACTTTCCATGAGTACTAAAACAGGCAAGAAAAGGTAGGTAAATACCAGATGAAGCTGAGAAATCTTGAAAAAGGGAACCAGAAGGGGTGGGAAAAGGAGGGTTCACCTGCATAAATGGAGGTGGGTTGTGGAAATGGAGTTTTGATCTGAAAGAATGGGGAAGAGGGAGGGGAAATTGCAGAGGAAGGGGGAGAAGAGGAGGGTAATTCTGGGAAAGGTTCTGATTTTGAAGCCCAAACCTAATGTTGTTACTTGGGTTGTGATGGATGATGGCACCACTGGTTTGTCTGAGATTTCTTGGCTTTGTTCTTGATGAATTTGTGGTGGGGTTGGAGGGGTGACCAGCTGGTTCATCCTCCATGGCTGGCCTTGGGAAGACAGAGAACAAGAAGAATAAGGGCAAAAAGGATTCTTTGCATCAGAGAGAGAGAGAGTGATGGATCACTGGGGAAGTAAAACAGTGATTGCAGAGACTTTGTGGGGTAGGGGTAAGGGTGGATTTGGAATTTAATTTAATTCATGTGGTTTGGTCAATCTGCACAAATGCAGATTTTGGTGCTGGTGAGTTTCTTTTTTTTTTTTTTGAGTCTTTTTGAAGGGGTTTCTTTGTGTCATTGTTTATTGAGTCATTGCGCATAAGTAGTTTTTGATTTATAGAATGCCTAGAAGTTAAATATTCTTTGGTGCAAGTAAATGACTTAAATGATAGTTAACGTATTTGTAAATATTCATAAATATTGAGGAACAATTTTGTAAATATTTTGGTCAAAATGGAAAAACGAAAAATTTAAAAAATTGATAAGTAGCTAAGACCTAATTATCTTTTCTAGCTTATAAGTTCGCTTATAAGTTCACAGAAACATGTCATCAACTGACTTATAAGTTAAAAATAATTTAAAAATTGTTTTGACCAACTTATAAGCACATAGAAACACTCACAAATTAGTGTCTTTTTAGGGCGGATCATGTCCAACCATCCATCTCAAACTTCAATCCATTACACTAAATTAAGACAAAAAAATATTCTTATACTCCGTAATATACAGAGTATTTTTATCCCAAAATATTTGTTATATTACATACGTACAATGAAATGAAATTTGAAGTTTTTTCAGTTCATTTATTTAAATATTGGTATAGAAATAAAAAATAAAATTTATATATTTAAAAACTGCGTCAAAAATTTTTCAAAATAAGAGATAACAAGAATATTTTGTTTTATTAAATAATCAATGAAAATGTATAAAAAACAAAAATTTTCATTATTTTTGAATAGTAAACTATGACATTCTATTTAGGATGGAAAGAGTACTCCTCTGTCTCTACAAACACGAAAAAAATAGAGTGTTCTAAAAATGTATTATATTTATTTTATTTTCTAATTTTGTTCTTACTTAGGATATGGTTTATAGGATATATGAGGCTTAATTTAAAACTACGAGTAATTTCAAAGTTACTCCTTTTTAAAGTGTGTTTTTTCGTCTTTGAGAACTTTTATGAAATAGATTAATTAAAAATTATGAGTAACTACTTCGTATTTTCTAAGTTTACTCTTACTTTTTCACAATTTTTTATAATTTATTAATTAAAACAAAATAAATTAATTAAAAAATTGAATATGCCAAAATAAAATTAAAAACCTAATACAAGAAAAAAAGAATGCACTATTAGGATGGAAAGAGTACTAAATTTAGGATTATACCCGTACTAAGGCTCCGTTCCGTTCAACTTATTTTTTCTGATCTGATCTGATTCTAATAAGTTCTGATCTGATCTGATCTGATCTGATCTGATTGGATCTGATCTGATCTGATCTGATTGGATCTGATCTGATCTGATTGGATCTGATTTGATTTGATCTGATTGGATCTGATCTGATCTGATCTGATTGGATCTGATCTGATCTGATTNATTTTTTAATAAAATAAAAATAGTTAATTCATATATTAGAATAATCATTCATATTATAATGTAATAATATATTTTATTTTATGATTATTTTTTTGTAAAATTAGAATTATATAATAGAATAAATATTTAATTTAGATATACATTAAAAATTAATTAAATTTAGATAATCAATATATAGAAGAGATAGTATTTTTATTAAAATGTCTCATCCTTATAAAAGATCAAAAGTTTAGAAACTCAAATTATAAGTAGCAATCAAAATATATTTTAAAAGTAGAATTAGATTGACATTGTCAATGTATTGTCAATCTATTTACTTTATTTCTAAAGTTTATTTTTTTTCATTTTTAAGAACAATAATAATAATAATAATAATAATAGCAATAATAATAATAATAATAATAATAATGAAGATGATGATGATGATGATGATGATAATAATAATAATAATAATAATACGGAGTAATAATAATAATAATAATAATAATAATAATAATAATAATAATAATTCTTGATGGGATCTGATTTTAATAAGTCCTGATTGGATCTGATCTGATCTGATTGGATCTGATCTGATCTGATTAGATCTGATCTGATCTGATTGGATCTGATCTGATCTGATTTGATCTGATCTGATTTGATCTGATCTGATCTGATTCGATCTGATCTGATCTGATCTGATTTGATTTGATTTGATCTGATCTGATCTGATCTGATTTTAATAAGAATAAGAAAAAATAAGTTGAACGGAACGGGGCCTAAATTTGGATTTTTTTAACTTCTTTTAGTTTCTTCTAAGTTTCTAATCCTTTCAACATCCAACTTTATTTTTTAAATCCAAACGAACAGAGCCTAAGACATAATGATGAATTTCTTAATACGGGTATATATATTTTCAAGTTTTGATTAAAATTTGCTACACTAGATTTTGCATTTTGTTATGGCTACAATTGAGAAGTTTTTCCCGCAAAGAAACATGTGAATGTGAAATTTGATTTGCAAAATCGAGTGTGAGATGATGTTTTATTACTTGTGTTGTATAATTTGTAGAAACATTTGTCCCTCACCTCCTCCATTACCACATAAATGGGTAAGAATTTTAAAAAAAATTAAATAAATAAAAAGTAGATAAAAATGGGTGGTAGAGAAAAGGGTGGGGGACAAATGGGGTACACCTTTGGTGTAACCCTAACATTGCTCTAATTTGTATTGTGGAAAAGGAAACATTTTTAATACTCCGTATTACAAATGAAGAATATAATTGAACAATTCTAAGAGATAAAAACTTGAAGAAAATAATTATGAAGTGTGAGTTATTTTTTCTATTAGAGCACGAACAATGGCAAGACAAAAATGGAATGCCACACGGTGACATGGAACATTTTAACCAATCAAAAATAGTCCAGTCAGCGTGTGGCAAGTAGATGGAGTAGCAAGTTCTACAATGACAAGTCATTATTTTTTAACACTTTTTTACATTTTTTTATGTTTTTTAAACATAAAAAAATATTTTTATTATTTATTTTATTAAAAAATTATTCTACTTTCTTGTACATTTTTTTTTCATAAAAAATTTTAAAGAAATTTATTTAAAAAAAAGAAAAAAAGAAGGAGGGAGTGCCACACTCATGTCTCACAAAACAAGGCATTTTGGTCTTACCATGCCATGATACAAGTGGAAAAGGTAATGTGGCAGTGCATGGCATCCCTCTTCCTTGCCATTACACATCTCTTAAATCATCCCTTGCTTTTGTCACATTAAAATACCCTCACCATATAAATTGTGATCTAATTAACGTGCCCCCAAAATGAATTTCTTTTTCTGGATATGCTGTTACTTTCTCCCATGCATAATTATTTTGTCGAAATGAATTTCTGTGCATAAAAAAAAGAAGAAATTTGGCAATAAAGAAACCAAATTTGGCAAAAATTCAGCGGAGCGTTAAACTTTTGTTAGGCGGAGAGAAACGTGCCAGGGAGGCAGAGGCAACATCACGCGCCTACCTTCCGCCACGAAACCGGAGCGACCCCGAAATATGAGCGGGAGTGAAGGCGGCTCAGACCATTCCGCCACCGGGAGCGGAGGAGAGTCTTCGACGGCGGAGAAGAAGAAGGAGAAGTCCAGAGTGAACCGTACTTCCCTAATTCTATGGCACGCCCACCAGAACGACGTCGCCGCCGTGAAGAAGCTCCTGGAGGAGGACAAGACGCTGGTGCAAGCTAGGGATTACGATAACCGGACTCCGCTGCACGTCGCCGCTCTCCACGGCTGGATCGACGTCGCCAAGTGCTTGATTGAGTACGGAGCCGACGTCAACGCTCAAGATCGATGGAAAAATACGGTATGACCCCTTGCACATGCTGCTATTTTTGGGGGTGAGTTCTGTTCTGTTTCAATTTCTCTATTAGAGGCCATCTCGAGAATGTTTTGCAGTAGATGTCATCTTGTTCAGGTGAATTCTGTTGTTAAACTGTGAGTTTCTTGAAAATCCTTTTCATGTCTGTACTCTGTACCGTTGCTTCTAAAACCCAATTAGGGTTCTCTACCTTTTATTTTATTGAAATTACCTTTGTGGAAATGGACTTTTGGGTATTGTTCTTGATGACCAGATATTGTAGTGGCTAAGCTTGACCAGTTGTTATTTTCATTCTAGTTATTATTTTTAGATACGGAGAAGATCATATTACACTCTGGTTTTGGATCACTTCTGTGCATGTGTATTCTCATGATTGTATCTATGCTTTCATTCTCAAATTCATTATGGGGTTTGGTTATCTGATTGGCATTTCTGATTACAGCCTCTAGCTGATGCTGAAGGAGCAAAGAAAAGCAACATGATTGAGTTGTTAACATCTTATGGTGGTTTGTCATTTGTAAGTTCTTTTCTTATGGTTCCTGCATAATGTTATCATTGTTTAGTTAGTAATCAGCATGAGGATATTCTCTACACATAAGTTTTTAATTATCTACTCGTATCTTTTAAGTATAAAAGTGCATTTTGGAATTGAAATGATCAAATGACAGTTGGTTTCAGAATGAATGGTTTTTACTGTATGGTACTCACACTTTAGCATAGTATATACAGGTCGATGCAGAGATTCTATAGAGCCTCTTATGGTGCCCTTTTCCCCCTTTAAGTTGTTGTCCCCCCCCCCCCATGCCACTACTTTTTGGACATCGGGTATTTGGGGGTAGTGGCACTCAAATTAAGGAAAGTTGTCTTGTGTGGTTGATATTGATGTGAAAGAGTAAGAACGGTTTTGAGGGACACAAATCCTACTAGATATGGTATTCTACAAAAATAGTGGAGCATGCAAAGAAATTTTAAAAGGACACAAGTAATGGGACTGATGGAGTACTTATTTCTTATCACATATTTGTGAAACCACTGGGAGTGTGCAAATGGACATGTTTTTTATTTAATTTGTTTCCTTTGAAATATTTCTGATTTCATATGGTAATTTGGCAGGGGCAAAATGGAAGTCACTTTGAACCAAGGGCTGTTCCCCCACCTCTGCCAAATAAGTGTGACTGGGAAGTTGACCCAACTGAATTGGACTTTTCAAACTCGGCTATTATCGGAAAGGTATGAATGAGCTACTTAAATGTAAGGACAATGTTCTCAGAAGGGTTAATTAAAAAAATCATCATCTTTTAATTTTTTCACTAATCCAGCTCATAATTTCAGAATATATTTCAGAATTTAGTCCTAGAAGAATTTCATTTAGGGATTTTATGGGTTTAATTACACTTATTTTCTACTGCATCTCTGTGTTTGCCTCAAATGGTCATATCTGTATTTTGCAGCAGCTACATAGACATAGACAAAAGTTGGAAAGATACTTTAGTTCAAAATTAGAAGAATGTGTATTCATGTGTAATTTTCTGCTAGTGTGTGCTAGAGTAGTGAAAAGGTTGAAAGTTGAAGAATGAGGAGTTTTCTGGTAACTAACCCTTTTCAAATTTGCATATGTTTCTGTTTCAATTTTTTTTTGGTCTAAATGACTTTCTTTGTTCTATTTTGCCGCCCAATTATGTTTAATTATTTCTAAGTTTATGTGGTTGCTCCTGATGGTATGCAATTTTATCTCTAGAATTATACTTCGGATATTTAGCTTTCAAGTCCAAACTTTAGATGTATGTTACTCCCAGTATTTAATCTATCTTCAAACGTTTTTCTAATCATGGAAGCTTATGCTATTAGGGCTCCTTTGGTGAGATACTTAAAGCATCTTGGCGTGGAACACCTGTTGCTATCAAGCGTATCCTTCCAAATCTTTCTGATGACCGCTTGGTAATGTAAGTAACTCTATGATCTATATTTTACCATAGCTTCAAATTTTCACACTTCTAAGTTCTCACACAAAAAGGTTTAGATTCTGGAGTGTCATTCAGTTATTTACTATCCATTTCATATCGTAAAGTCATACATTTAATCATAGTTGTTAATGGCGCTCGCCATTCTCGCCAAAGGCGCTTATGGCTTTGTCGCGACCTTCTGACGCCATACGCAGGCCTGGCGAGGCGTTTTCCGCCAAAGTCGCCATAGGCGGTCGCCATGGACGCCAAAGACTGTGGCGAAAGGCGTTCGCTATTTACGCCAGACCGGTCAAGGGTTTTTTTTTAAAAAAAGCCCGCTGACCAGACCTATATCAGTACACGATTGAAGCACTGCATCGATTCAACTGCCTCGCCTCTGCCTCTGCCCCTCGCTGTCGATCAAATTCTGTTCGCCGACTCAGCCTCCTGCCCCTTCTCAAGTGCTCCTCAGCCGGCGCAACCCTCTTCCCTCTCTCTCCATCTCTCCGACTCACTTCTTCGCATATTCAGAGCCAGCGCAATACTCTACACTTTGCAGGTCACTTAGACGTTTTTTTTGTTTTCTTATTGTTTTTTTTTTGTGAATGGTTATTGTTTCTTTACAAATACTTTGCAGGTCACACTTAGATAAATTTTTTTAATTTTTTTTGTACAATAGTTTTTCACCAATGGCAGAAACTTCCTCCAAAAGTAATCGAAAGGATTTGGCTTGGAAATATATTCGACTTGAATTTGACGGATGAGGATTATGATTAAATATCTTTCTTTCTTTTTAAGAACTAAATTTTGATTTTTGTTTTAACTTTTACCAATAACTCATGCTTTACTTTGATAATTATGTTTGATACAAAGTTAAGACTAAAAGTTTAGATTTAAACCATATATATATATATATATATATATATATATATATATATATAACCATATATAACCATATATATATATATATATAGGGGCCGGTTCCCGTGAGAATGCATCTTGTGGAGAGAAATGAGAATAAAATCTAGCCGTCGGATCTAATGCATCCTGCGGCTCAGATTGCATCCTGCGCTCAGATTTTGAGATAGTGCATTTTCGAAGGTTTATGGTGCATTTTGACGTGATGCATTTTCGCACCATTTTGGTGCATCTAATTTTGATGAAATTTTGACCCTTAGATCTCACAATCTAAAGCACCAGATTCATTCTCATTTCTCTCCTAAGATTGCATTCTCACCAGAACCAAAATCTATATATATATATATATAATGTTCGCCATTTGACCGCCCGCCGCTCGCCACGCTTCTCGCCATAAAAAAGAGCCTCTCGCCCGCCACTCGCCATTCGCCATTCGCCATTCACAACTATGCATTTAATGCTTTCGGACTCTGCATTTAATTTCCATCTGCTTGATGGACAACTTTTTTCTTAGTTTCTAGGTGGTAGTCTTTAAATGAAGTCCTCTACTCTCTCTCTCTCTCTCTCTCTCTCTTAGTATTATAAAACAAAACATTAATGTTTTCATATTCTGCATTTGTTTGTATTTGCTTGATGGGCAACTTTTCTCTTAGTATGTGGGTGTTGTTTTTTAAATGGTCTGTAGGTACCTGAGATGAATTTCCATTAATATTACACTTGGTCTTTTTAATAAATAATTTCTACTCCTATTATTTTATGAATAATAAAACTTTATGTTTGCGTCTGACTATACAGTCAGGATTTCCGGCATGAGGTAAATTTGTTGGTGAAGCTTCGCCACCCAAATATAGTGCAATTTCTTGGAGCTGTTACTGAAAAAAAGCCCTTGATGTTAATTACTGAATATTTAAGGGGGGTACGTGGTTTGCATCTTTTGGTTCTTGCTGGGGTAAACTATTTTCCAATTCCCGCTATGGCTGGATTTTCTTTTGCTAATAACTTACACTCTGTTACAGGGTGATCTTCATCAGTACCTGAAGGGGAAGGGTGCACTCAGTCCATTGACAGCCATCAATTTGGCAATGGACATTGCCAAGTAATTTCAACTCAATATAATATTAATTTCTTTTGTTAAGTACCATTACCAGCTTTCTTACCAGAATTTTTATATTTGTCTTGACAGAGGTATGGCTTATCTTCACAATGAGCCAAACGTTATAGTTCACAGAGATCTAAAACCAAGGCAAGTTGATAATTCTACCCACTGTATGAATGGATTAGTGGGACTTTTTGGTAGAATTTGAATTCGTGTATTGAGCTCCTGTTGCTACGATAAAAGTGTGTTGTTGCTATGTTGGTCCCTCAACTCTTCAGATTTAGTCATTTTAGTGCATCGTTAGCATTATTGAGCAGATGTTACCTTCATGTTGCAACATGGTTGCAAATTTGGCTTCTTGGTGGTTGACTCATAAAGTAATGAAATCTTAGGGTTCTTGTTTGCACACATTAATATGAGTTTTGAGGGAGAAGACCGTAAGTCCATTCCTAAGATTGCTTGTAAATCACGAAGGTCCTAAATTGCAACCGTCTTGCAAAGTCAGGTGTGAGTGTGAGGGACCAGAAACACATTCTTCTCTCAATTGCTAATATTTTATTCTGTAGCTGACCCTTTGAATATGGTTTGGCTTCCAGGAATGTGCTTCTCGTGAACTCAAGTGCAGACCATCTAAAAGTTGGAGACTTCGGGTTAAGCAAGCTCATCAAGGTTCAAAATTCCCATGATGTCTATAAAATGACAGGAGAAACTGGAAGCTGTAAGTATGTTTTTCTCTATGGATAAGGGGAAGTTTGCCAAAATTGCCTAGAAATTTACTAATCAGTAAATACTTCTTTTTTAATCATCCATTTAAAAAGATCGGTACATGGCTCCTGAAGTTTTCAAGCACCGTAGATATGACAAGAAGGTTGATGTCTACTCATTTGCAATGATACTATACGAGGTAAATTCTGGTTTTCTCACCGATGGGGCTTCATATCAAAAGCATTGTGTTATCTCATATCAATGAATTGTGAAATCTGCTCATGTAGATGTTAGAAGGGGATCCACCATTGTCAGGCTATGCACCATATGATGCTGCTAAACATGCAGCCGAAGGACACCGACCCATATTTAGGGGAAAGGGATTCACGTCCGAATTGAAAGAGTAAGTCATTTAACAACCCATACCACACTGAAACGTCGAGAAGACTCCGATCTACGCGGTCTGTTTTCATGTGCTAGGTGACATAAATAAGTTTTTTTTTTAAATTTTATTTTATTTGTGCTTGAAACCAAATTCTGCAGGTTGGTGGAGAAGTGCTGGGCAGCAGACATGAACCAGAGACCATCTTTCCTCGAAATTCTGAAACGACTTGAAAAGGCAAAGGAAAGTGTGCCATCCGATCATCACTGGAACATCTTTTCTTCATGACAGCTTTTGCCAAAAGACTTCAGTATGAATTTCAATCTTCCATTCCCAACTCCCAAGTCTTATTTCCTTCTTTTTTTGTGTATTAGAAATTAGATGTACAATAATAACAAAAAATGTCATCTCAAAGAGAGTGTTTTACATTGATCCAAAAGGGAGAAAAGGTTAGAAAAACTTCTTCTTATGGAAAAAGGTTTTCAAATACAAAAACTGGATTCCGGCCACTGTGAGGCACAAAATAAACGACACTCCGCTCAGCCAACCCATTTCGGTGTTGGTTGCTCGGTTAAGTTCTTGCATTTCTTCTTCTCTGCACATAATATTGGCCACACACCATATTAGTTCAACGTTGGATGGACAAAGATAAATGGTGGACAAATGAACCCTAAAGGGTGTGTTTTGTCGGAAAGGAAGCGAGGGAAAATGTTCTCTCCCTCCACACCCCACCCGCGTTAGGATAAATAATTTATAGTGGAGGGTACCCACATTTTCCCTCGCATCCAAATCCGTTCAAACTATTCAAGATAACTTCTAAGCCTCATGTCAAGTTTTTTCCCCTCCCCTCCCAACAAAACAAACCAAGAAGAGCTTGTTTGCATAAATATTACTCTTTCTGTTCCATAAATTACTTTCCTATGGTATTTGAAATGTCTTGAAAAGACGTCTACTTTCTTTTTAAAGAAAAGATCGTGTGGTTTATATTATCTCTTTCTCGTATGCAAATCACAAACATACGATTTCTAGTAAATTGTGTTAATCTCAACGTACCTTTCGCGGAGATAAGACATCTCATCATGGATGGCATTGACAGTTTCATACATTTTCTTTAACTCCAATTCCATAGCCTGTTAATACAAAGCGAGAAATAAGCTATGCCTAAATTTGAAGGGAAAAAAAATGTCATGTTAGGGGTATACCAAAATGAGATATCTCATTTGTACACCAGGCAAAAGTGTGTGATCAAAGATACTAAGTGTCTGTGTTTGCTTGGTATCCAAATGAAGTATCCTATTTTGATATATTCCTAGGTTTATTCTAAAAAAACCAATTGAATGGAAAAGAGATGATTTACAATAATAGGATCTATAATTCCAAAGAATTAACTTTTAACTTACATCAATGGAGTATTTCTTTGCAACATTGGTCCAATCCTTGGTGGCCACGACGCCAGATTTCCAATGGAAGTCAACGGTCAAAGTGACAGGTGGGTGGTGACGTGGAGCAAAGAAGCAAGTCTCGTAATCCCCTGCTTCTTCTAAGGCCTCGTATACAAACTCCCCTTTCCCCACTTTCTCTGCATACTTATAATTATTCCCATTTGGAGACGTCACCTGTACGGACCAACAAAACCCCTCATTTTAAAAATAAAAAAATTAAAATCATTTACTACCTCCGTCCCACTGTCTTTGTCCACTTTTAAATTTTGGAACTGTTCATCTAAGCACTTTGACTCATCAAATTCTCTCAATGTGTAAGTCTAAATATAGTTATGTGTGATCTTGTTTGATTTGTCTTAACATATAGATTATTAATATATAATTTCTATAATTTTTAATATACAAATTACAAGATAAAATGGATTAAAGAAGTGCATTGGATGGTGTGCCAAAAGGTAAGTGGACAAAGACAGTGGGACGGAGGGAGTATAAACAATCTATCCGTTCATAAATAAAGTTCTCATTACACGCTATGATCTTTGACTGAAATTATTTTCAAATAATTTTATACGCAAAATCGTATGGAAATAAAAATTACATATTTAAAAATTAAATGAAAAGATCTACAAAACTAGAGGTGGCATAATTATATTATTTTATCAAATAGGACACAACAATAGTTAAATAGACCAGCAAAGTGAATAAAATTTGACAGTGTGAATAGTGAACAAGAACATTATTGTTGGACAAAAAGGAGTATTACAAAATGATGAGCCTCGTCCCCAGGGCGCCTCTCAGACCCGGCTAGACGGTCATTGAGAGGAGACAAATTGGATTTTGATCGCAGGTTAGTGGCAAATAGTGGAACGTGCATCTGGTATTTGTAAAGACCCTATGCTTAGCATAGATACCTTCCAGTGCAATTGTCAGGAATCGAAGTCGAATCTTTTCCCCTAAACACACTTTGTTTTGCCGACTGTGCAAGGTCCACCGACAAATAATTTATAAATATTGACTCGGCAAATGGGAGTTGTACACAAAAAATAATACGAGTAATAATTACTCCTTATTTACCACTTTATCAAAACCGAGGTTAATTTGGCATGTTATCACTTTTAGTCTTCCGTTAATTTAGTTAGTTTTTGACTACTATCAGATTTATTCCAATTTAAATGTCCGTTTTTACTTTTGACATATGACATTTGATTGAATTCTTTTTAATTTAATTTATTTAAAATTTGTGTATAATTAAAAAAATAGCAAAAATTACAAACGCTCATGATTTATGATGGGTAGTGAGAGAAAAACCAAAGGGTGTATTTAGTTGGGGGCAATTTGGTCAACTTAGTCTTAATATCCCACCATAAATAGAAAGTGAAGAAAAATAATGGGAGATTGTCCAAAAGGAAAGGGGACGAGGTAAATTGAACAATAACTTAGTCTAAAGAGTAAAATTTGTTTAAAGTATGTACAACGGAATCCATGTTATGTATGGTAACTTTTAATCATCGTTGTAATGCTTTTTTATCATCTGAATCACGCTTTTGCAAAATACATCCTTTATCCCTCATTGGTCCTTTTCACGGAGTCATAAAATGATCCCATTAGTTTGACAAATGAGGATATTTTGTTAATGGATTATAAAAAAATTAGTTATGATATAATTATATTCATTTTAAGATAGGGTCAAAGAAACTCCAAAACTCAAACTAGGACTATAATTTTGAAAACATAAAGAGTAAACTTTTTTATAAATAAATATTCCCCCATCCCAATATTTTTCTTAAAACGTAAGAAAATCTGGCGACAATTAAAATTTATGTAGTTTGAATTCAGAAGAGCCAAACGGGAAGAAAAAAAAGCTCCACAAATCTACAAATGCTATTTCATAACGATAATTTCATTTCAAATTAGATACGAAGTATTCAAGTAAAAAAAATAAAGATCTAACCGACCCAAACTGTGACATTATGGGTTTCCGGCAAAGGGCCGCCAGCGTTGGGGTTGACGACGTGGTACTTGCAGACGGACATGGCGCCGCTCTTGATTTCCTCGTATATGCATTTGGTATGACCCGATTCGATGTCGAATCGGAGCGACTGAATTTGGGTCGGAATGAAGGCCGAGATCATAATCATAATGAGAGAAATTGCAAACCACTCGTGACCCATTCCCATTTTTATTTATTAATTTTATTCTATTTCTCTCCTTCTTCTTCTAGAAAAATTTTTCTAGATGAAGAAAGAGAGATGCAATAATGAGAATGGAGAATGGTGGTGGAGTTTGACGGAGGATTTGTTTATTTAGATTCACTTCCGGGATGTAGAGAAGAGGGGGAAGGTTAAGGTAGGACAATGTGGTTGTAAATAATTCTAATTTATTTTCTTAAAACATAACTACAATTTATTTTTATTTTTTAAATATTTTATGTGGATGCTTTTATGTTATGTTAAGAGAAAAAAGCATTTATTTTAAATTTAAAGAACAAAAAATTATTTATCTACTTGATGTTTTTCTTCTTTTCGTTTTAAAATAGAGTAAATTAGAAGATGATTGGTTTACATTTATAATCTACCAAAATATCATGAGGCAAGTATTAACTAATATATTGTGAGAGTATAATTAAAGAGACAAGCTAAGACTAAATACCTAATAATTTCATTGACATTGGTATCAATGTCACAGGATGACATCGGGCATATACTTGCTTTATTGTGCCGGAAAGTGATTTTTATCCCTCCCCAAAAACCACCCTAGCCCCCGTCTTAGCCCCCTAGCCCCCTCCCCATCATAACTTTCATTCTCATAGACATTGCTTGTGTATCAGAACTTCCTTTTTACATACACACAATGTTTGTGAACACGAAAAGTTTCTAACTTTCTTGTTATCTATTAAACATTGTCTCATTTATCTATCACATACATTACTCTTTGGGTTGCTTACTAATATCACATCGCAAGCATTAAAATACAAGTGTTACTGTGTTAGATTCTATAGACATTGATTGTTTATAGATTTCAACCACACAAACGATACCACTCTGTGTGGTGGAATGTACATACATACATTTTCCATCATGTTGCCCAATATCATACATATGATTAGGTTTGGAGTCTGGGTTCGAGTCCACAAACATAATTGTTTGTCTTATAAAATATATATACATACATTATAAAGTATGTTGACACTGGTGGATTCAAGGAATTCAAGTCCTCAAAAAAAAAAAAAAGAAAATTCTAGAGAGCTTTGAACTTGTTCTCCAAGTAATTGTGATATTAATTGGGTAATGATCATAGCATAAATATATATACATGTCTTAATGGCCCACGAGCCTATTATTGATTGGAGCTATATATCTATGGGCCGAAAATATGTTGGTCTCCCCTTCCATAAAACTCTAACACTGTCGTACTCTAACTAAATTTTACTCAGACCGAGCAGAGGCCTCGGTAATCTATCTTGTACGTTATTGTCCTCATATAAGGCCGAGGTGATATTGTGTCCTCCTAGGCCTGCTAGGAGGTGTAGGACCATGATACCCTCACCTTTAAGGCTTATTGATCTTGGCTTCTCTAGAGACTCCAAGTCTTCCTTAGGTTGAATACTTCTACATCACATCATGAGTCTCCCACCTTCTGAGCTGTGAGGAACATGAGGCGAAGTGGAAGTAGAACATAAATTAAACTTTATGATGAAGATAATTGCGGTTAAAAACTTCACATTTTTAAATTTGAATTCTTCCCTACGTAACTAATTTTTGAGGCGCGTAAAAGATGAATCATTGACATTTGAATTTTAAAATGTCAACATTGTATAGTGATGTGTATCACCCCTTGATCCATTCTTGTTGTCATCCCTCGAGCATCTCATGCGTATTCATTATTTAATTTCAAAATATCGTTATTTTCAATGCGAGCACCAAGAGTGGACTCAAGGAATCTATTGGCCTCTAAAGAGAGAAAATTTTAGAGATAGAGAGAGAGTTCGAACCTATACTCTAGTTAAAGATGGTTGTGTAATGATGATAGTCTACCTCCTCAAGACCTAAGGGGGTTTATATATGACTTAATGGCCCAAGGAGTTGTTATTTATCAAAGCCAATTCTATATGGACCGACCCAATAGGGTAGGCCGCCCTCTATAAAACTCTAACACTATCGTATTGTCTAAATTCTTTGCCTCTTCCACCCGACACTCAGATCGAGCAGAGGCCCAACTTGGGGCCAAGCCCCAGAATCTATCTTGTGCGAACACTGCCCTCATCTAAGCATGATGCTAGAGGTGACATTGTGTTCTCCAAGACATGCAAACAGGTGTAAGGCCATGACACCCTCGCCTTTAAGGTCTACCACTCTAGACTTATTTGTGAGCTCCGAGTTTTTCTTTGTGTCAGTTACTTCAAACATTAAGTATTTATGTTTTTATTTGTCATAAATATTAAGCAACTTTTTAGTGATTGTGACAATGAGAAGTTAAAGAAGGTATTGACATCGATTAATGTTAGGGTGAGCTTCCAATTTACGAACACAAGCTATATGTGCTCTTTCATTTTAGAGACATTGTATGTGTTTGATCAAGAACTCGAAAGACACTAATTGTCTATGAACTGCAATAACTATCTATATGACCAAAATTACATAAGTAGAATAATGTCCAAAGTCTTGTATCAAAATAAATACATGCCAAAACTTATTGGATTATGTTCCACAAAATTATGTCAAAATGCATGCCAAAAACTTTAAGGACTAGATTATAGAGTCTTATGTCAAAATAAGTGCATGCTTTATTTTATAAGCGACTATCATTCATGTGCATTACATACTAAAATTAATATCATCAATTAACAATAGAGGGATACAAAACAAGCAAATGATCACTGAACCACATACACCATTCTAGAGTGTCATAAATGAAATAATATGTACACATGGTTTCTATAGAAGGTGTATTACATGTCACCAATATCAAATGATGTTTCTCATCTCTATATAAACTCATGTTGGAGTCTATTTGAATGATCGAAATCCTATGCATTAGTCATCCTAATATTCTTGTACTCGAAACTCTTTCACTCTAATTATTAGACTACAGGTATTTCCACTTCAGTCTTTCACATTATCTACTTTTATAATAATAGGTTAATAGCTTATTAATCATTAAATTTTATTTCAATATACCTGTCCTGATTTTATAATTTATCCGATCAAAAAATAAAAATACGATATGATCGAAATTTTCCTTATATTTCCAAATATTTAATTTAGGAAATACTTTATTATTGTAATCATCTTTATTTTAGTAAGTACTCCCTCTCTTCTTTTTTTTTGGATAATATCCTTATTTACGGTATATATATCCAAGTAAATATACTCCCTAATACTCAGTCCGGTATTTCCAAATCTCTATCTTCTTCAGGTCGTCAGAAATTTTCAGATCTCTGTAATCAATTTCTCTCCCATTGTTTTTTTCTCCTTTCTTTGGAAGAGACTTCCGGAGAATAATCAGACACAAATTTCATTCAAGACTTGACTCTTGTCTTCTTACTACATTTGCCTCCCACCGTTTTCCCAACATTTTTTTTTAATTTCTTGGTTTGATTCAATTTTATATATTTATTGTCCACAAATTCTCCTCCAATTGTTGAAGATTGAAAATTCCCAAATTTCCCTGAATCTACGGCGTTGATTCGCCTACAAAGTGCGAATTTTTTGGATGTGGGGATGAAGGATCGGCGATGTGGAGGGAGAGTGGAGTGAAATGGAGGGGGCTAGATCGGAGGCCGTGTCGGTGCTGGTGAAGGGGGAGAAATTGCTGCCGTTGCAGGGAGGAGGGCCGGTGATCCAGAGGACGAGGTTGCAGGTTTGGTTCATTAGGGTTTGTTCCAGCATTCTAATATGGACCTGCTTGGTTCAGCTCATCGCGGTATTCGAACTCTGGCATCCGCGCTTGATCGCCGGAGTTTCTACGATCTCCCATGCAGTCGACGATGGCCTGCCGGCGCTGCCACCCCCGCCTCTTGTTCCCGCGAGTATGTGCCTACTTTGAGATCGCAATTGTGTTTTTTTTGGTTTGAATCTATTCGATAAAATGTTGGTCTTGGATCGCGGATCGCTTTTTTTGACTAGGTGAAAATGAGCTCATATGAAATCTCGTTTTACTAAGGCAGTGTTTGGTACACAAGCAAAAGGAATTTTTTTATGCTCTGATGTTCTGGGTAGCTTCCGAGGGTATGCATTTCAAATGAAGTTTAGCATGTAAAGACATCCTAAAGGCTGATTCTTTAAGAAACTTTCAGGGGAAGTGTTATTTGAAAGGCATACCATAAAATTAGTCACCCAGTAGGGAAAAAACCTATTTATAGATGAAGCTGAGGGAAAGAGTCAACTTTGCTGATGGATCAGTTTGGAATCTGATTCGTAGATTTGAATCTTTGAGAACACAGTCAATAAGATGACTTCGTTTCTAAATTTCTCTAGTGCTGCTTTGTACGGAGTATATAGGTTACATAGTTAAATGATCACACATTCACATCTCCAGTCATATCTCTTGATACAGGACTAGAAATTGAAGGAATTCTTTCCAATGTCAAGTCTCAATGAAAACCCACTCCTTTGAATTTATTGAATATTAAATTGTTTAAGATTCAATCTCTCAGAATGTTGTTGCAAAATCTTGATATATTTTGTTTCAACCATGAGATGCTCATTTGTATTTATATTATAGGGAATTACACGAGCAATGGTTTTCTTAGAGTTTCTTGCAATGGTGGCTTGAATCAAATGCGTGCTGCGGTTGGTACTCATTCTCTCCCTCTCCCCCTCTCCCCCTCTCAATCTGTTATCCTTTTCTCTTTTTTATTGACCATGTCGCCGTTTAAGAATCTACTTTCAGCTAAAACAGAGATTTCTCAAAAACACGAATAAAGACTAAGCTGATCAATTTGGTATGCAGATATGTGACATGGTGACAGTAGCTAGATTTTTAAACTTGACTTTGGTTGTGCCAGAGCTTGACAAGACATCATTCTGGGCTGATACTAGGTGATTGAGTATTAGTATAATAAAGTTATCTTTTCACCTGTCGTTCAATGTTTTGTAATAACTTCTAATAAACTCCTTTTGCAGTGATTTTGAGGATATTTTTGACGTAAGGCACTTCATTGATTCATTAAGAGATGAAGTTAAAATTATTAGGAGGTTACCAAAGAGATTTGGGAGGAGATATGGCTACCAACCCCTTGTTATGCCTCCTATTAGCTGGTCAAATGAAAAATACTACTTGGAACAGGTTTGTTCATTTATTTTGATTGTGTGTTATTAAATTGCAAGTAGAAATATGATGAACAATGATTAAATAAATGGTTTTTTATTATTAAATAATTGCACATGTTAAAACTTGTTTGTTAGTACTTTTGTTTGGTTCCATCACTTTGAACAATTGCACTTCTTAAAGATGGGTTTCAAGGGCTCCAAATCTTCATTCTCTCTTCCCAGTTCCCATTCCATTGGAGATTACTCCCGCCATCTCCAAATGAAATTGTCACACGGATAATGATGCTTGCTAGAAGTTACTTTCAATTCATTTTATTTACGTATTGCTTTAAAATTTTAAAAAATGATTTTTAAGGAGTATTTAAAAAAAATACATGAAATGTTTTACAAAACAATGCATTAAGGGTCTAATGGAAACAACTTCTCTGTTTTTTTCGGGGTTTAAGACTGACTGCATACTTTTTTATCCCCAAGACCCCATCGAAGTTGGGATTATATTGGGTTTGTTGTTGTGCACTGGTTGACAAAAAATGAAGAAAAAATGATGTGATGGAATGCACTCTACAGATTCTCCCTCTATTCAACAAGCACAAGGTAATACACTTCAATAGGACAGATGCAAGACTGGCCAATAATGGCTTACCTCTAGAACTTCAGAGACTCCGATGTCGTGTCAATTTCCAGAGCCTAAAATTTACACCCCAGATTGAAGGTTTGGGTCAGAAATTGGTTCACATGCTTCAAGAGAAAGGACCTTACGTTGCGTTGCATCTAAGGTATGAGATGGACATGTTGGCTTTCTCGGGTTGTACACATGGCTGTACAATACAGGAAGCTGATGAGCTCAAGAGTTTAAGGTGTGATGTATACTGACTACTCATGATTTGCTCAGATAAGATGCATTGAAGAAAACACCACATATTTCATGCCCCTTACTGATGAATTTTTGTGTGCATAATTCAGGTATGCATTCCCTTGGTGGAGGGAAAAAGAAATAGACTCTAAAGAGCGTAGGTCTCAAGGTTTATGTCCTCTAACCCCGGAGGAGGCATCGTTGGTTTTGCAAGCTTTGGGTATTGAGAAGGATACACAAATATATATTGCGTCTGGTGAGATATATGGCAGTGAGCGAAGGCTTGCTGCTCTAAGATCTGCATTCCCAAGGACTGTAAGTGCTACTTGGTGTTTCAAAATGCACAAAACCATCCCATTCTTGATGTGGATTATAAACTATATATCCTTCTAAATGGCAAGTGAACTCTGTTCTATATGTAAAACCGCATATTATTTTCAGAGCAAATATCTCTTTGTAAAAAGAACGATGTTTTAGGGTTAGAATGTCTTACAACATAAGATTGCATGGGATATTCCCATCAGGCAAAGGCTTATCCCATAGTCATAGTTTTCTCACTTGACTTGCGGGAATATTGCATGAGTGATCCACCAAACTATGCTCCATATATCAAATTTAACACAAACTCTAATTAGTACTTCCTCCGTCCCGTTTTAAATTGCCCGTTTTGACTTTTGGGCATATTTAAGGAAAAGAAAAAATAAAGTTGATTTTTCAAAATTGTCATTATTTTTTATGAGGGGTGACGATGAATTAGAAGATAAAATGAAGAAGAGTGACTTATTTTAGGGGTACTTTAGGTATTTTATTTTTAATAGTTTACGATAACAACTAACAGGCAACTTATTTTGGGACGAAGAAAAAAGGCAAACAGGCAATTTAAAATGGGACGGAGGAAGTACTAAAAAGGGTACTCAACTTTATTCTTTGTTCCTCAATATTTTTGGCCAAATGCATAATTTTATCCTCTGTTGGATTTGGATTTCCAGTGGAGCGCTTATAATCATATTGTTGTGATCATGAATATGTGTTGTTTTTCATTATCAAAGTTTTACATATTGCATAAAATTCAGCCATTTCAGCTACATATAACTTTTAGGAAGGGGTCAGGATTGAAAACAGGGAATGTAGATTACAAGTTGTCCGCTTGGAGACCTGGCTATTAGCAGGGAAACATTTACCAGAAATTAGTAATGGAACCACTGCTGAAATAAAAATATAAGTTCTACTGTTGGTTCCCTTTTGATATAGGAATACAAACTAAAGTTTAGTGCTCAATTTCATACATGTATCGTAGTTAAGTGACAATTTAAGCAATTTTCTCCTTGTTTAATTCGCATCGTGCTAAGCATTGAATCCCAACATTCTCTAATTGCAATCACAGGTAAAAAAGGAAACACTGCTTGGTCCTGAAGGTTTGCAGCACTTCCAGAACCATTCATCTCAAATGGCTGCTCTGGATTTCGTAGTGTCAGCTGCCAGTAATGTATTTATTCCCACTTATGATGGCAACATGGCAAAACTTGTCGAAGGTCACCGTAGGTATAATAATAATAATAATAAATCTAAATCTTGAATTTGATAGTTAACTTTTATTGCAGACATTCAACTGGTGTTATATATCATGTGCAGGTATCTAGGGTTCAAGAAAACCATCCAACTGGACCGGAGAAGTCTGGTACAATTGTTGGATTTACATCAGAACGGAACACTCTCTTGGGACAGATTTTCAGATGCGGTCCGGAAGGCCCACGAGGGGAGAATTGGGCAGCCAGCCCATCGTAAAGTTGTTGCGGACAAGCCCAAAGAAGAAGATTACTTTTACTCTAATCCTTATGAGTGTCTGTGCAAGAGCCCGAGGTGCGACGATGACTCATTAAGGCATAATGACAACAACTCAACCGTGACCCGGTGAGGAAAATGTTCCACACCGGGTCCCACTCTAACACCACCGCCACATATAGAGATGCAAGAGAGACGCGGCGAAGACACAAACGTGACGAGTGAAGTGTACAAATGATTCTTTGGAAGTGTTACAGAAAACATGACTTGTGATTTGTACCATGTTTGATGGGTGTTGTAATATGGGTCCATTTGGAGATGTATTCATTCATTCTGTTGATATTAGGTTATTTCCTTTGGTTTTTGACACAATGATTCATTTGTTTTTCTTGTAACCCAAAAGTCACTCTGATCTCATCAACAGACCTCACTCACCCTTCCACTCAATGAATTTTGTACTCATACTCAGACTAATGTACAAATTTTGGCAAATGCTGTTAATCATTTTGATGCCCCCTTGTTATATATAGTCTTGAGTTTGGATGGTTTTGAGACTATTTTACAGGCTATCACCTCCTTGTTTAACAGCATTTCTTGTTAGATTGTTTGACATAGTATATGTCACTTTATATAGCCTCAAGTACTTTCCACCTTTTGGTCAGGTCACAGGTTCGAGCCCTAATGACGCAGTAATTTTATGTGCTTTAATAAGTTAAGAATGTATGAACAAATATTATATTATATTTTTTCTGTCTGTCATAGATCTTTCCAAATGCCTTTTTGTTTGTCTGGGAATACTCTTTCCATTAACTTTTTTAATACGGAATATTTCAAATACTACAACTATCTAAACTTAAGTTATTACGGGGTACAATTCATTACCTCATTTATTATAACTCACCCACTTTCATTGAGAATATTTAGGAAGTATTGTTCAAAAAAAAATTAAAAAAAAAACAAAAAAGAGGAGAAAGAAGTCTATAAGTCTACATAATAGCTTGGTAATGTGGAAGCTAGCTTTTTGAAAAAGGTGACCAAAAACTATTTGTTGGCTTCTTACGGAGAATCTTTGGATTTATAAAAGCCGTAGACAATCCCTAGTTTAGACCATACAAAGAGCATTATTTACAACAAAAATGAGATGAATAAAAAACACAAACAAGACAAAACTAAAAATAGAATGAGCATAAAGAAAAGATCAATAATGGTCACCGTAGCATCTAAAATGAATAATATATATACTACGTAACTTGTAAATGTGTATACCCTGATATTATAAAGTGAACAGTCAGAGTACGTTTAACTACGTTTAACTGTTTAAGATATTAAATATGCACTTTTCTATAAATTCATTTTCAAACTTTCAATTTTTTTCTCGTTCATTCATTGGAAAAGTTATAACAACAAAATGAGAAATTTTCTTTGGGGCAAACGATCAACTTCGTAATGTGCATGTTCTAAGTACATGCACAAAAATAAATGTGTGAAATGAATATATTCTTTAACTTGTTAATGGACATATGTCGGACGTACAATAAATACCGTACATCCGAATGTACAATATAGGAACTCCCTATTTAGGCTCCCAGAATATGATTTCGCCCGGGTCTCCAACGAGGCCGAGATCTTTGAGCCTTCTCTCTTGGTAGTATTCCAATTCATCGAGTTCCTCTTCCCTCTCCCAGAAAATGTTGTCTATCTGTCTCAACACTTTCTTCTCCCCCGCCCGTACTCCTATGGCTATCTCAAGTCTAGGACTGAGGTTTCCTTGTTTCATTTTCTCATCCTGCATCAATAGATGTGTTGTTTATCGTGTGTGCATGTGTATGTGTGTGATAAGAAATATGAATCAGGCGCCGGTGGGTGTTGCATAGTTGGCAAGGCAAGGAGTGCACAACTGGTAATACCCAAATTCGATCCCTAGCAACTGTGCTAGGCATAGCACCTTTGCAAGTACCGGGTACAAACTCCACTCTTTGCCATCAATTTGTGATTAAAGCCCAATTGACCTCCTCTCGCGTGACCGTTTGGCCGGTTCTGAGAGACCTTTAGCCCTTAGGGATGGATGTGGTTCATCCTTTTTTAAAAAATATGAATGAGGTAGAGAATGTATATTGTTTTGCTATGATAGATTTAAATGGAGCGTTTGGTTTGTACTGGGCAAGAAAATTAAGGTCAGCTTTTCCTATCAAAGATGGAGACATGGTCGCGTTAAGCTGGAGTTCTTGTCGTTGCCAACGACATAAGAATGAGTTCAATGCCGAAGGGGTGTTTAAGGATTTGGTCTTTTACTATACATGTAATAAGACTTATTGTATCACTAATGGTGGTATAAGAATGAATGCCTTACCTCTTCAAGAGTGGTCTGATATCCGGAAAGTGTCAAGGCGCAAGCATCTCGGATTACTCTACATATGAGCTGCTCATTTGCACGGCTAACGGGTAATTCCAGGTGGGCCCAAATGGAGTTCCGGAATATTGACTCGAGCAAGAAGACATCGGGCCCCGCAAGTGCTACCAACCTCAAGTAGGGAAGCATTTGAGGTGGAAGACATTGGCCCAACTTTATATCAAAGTATGCTGTTTCCCCTAAACCATTTGACTCTGCAATGTCCAGTTTGTCCCCATGAAACTCATCTGACTCGGGGATTTCCAAGTTTAGGGTAAATGAATCACGACGCGGACTTGAATCAATGAAACCATAGTCCAGCACAAAATCAGCATTGCTCTTGTTCAGATCATATTGGATGAAAACCTGTCAAACCCAAGAAGAAGAGTTGTTTGAAGAATTATTTTGATCCCAACAGAAGTCCTATATAAACCAAGGAGGCTGAGTTTCATTCTTCATATGAAAAAATGTCTGCTTAAGTTGAGTGCATTAAATTTATTTTAAACAATAATTTAAACTAAGTTAACCAAGAAATAAATTTCAAAATATAGTTGGATTTCGTGATTTTCAATAGTTTTGCCTAACTAAAAGTTAAAAAATTGTACCTTTGTGAAGCAAGACTTCTTTTACGGGACACATGAAATAGTTAACTTTAGTGTGAACTCCATAAACTATTTAGGACCAATTCCCTTAGAAGAGACATCTTCCATCCTAAAGTTATTTCACACTTCTTTTGCACCTTTCCCAAAATGATTTTTCATTTCGTATCAACGAAAGAACTCTTCAGTTCATGCCATTTCTCTCCCTTCTAAATATAAGGCAACCACAATATTCTTTTTATAAATGTGTGCCAAGTAAAAGTGAAAAGTTAGTAAAAGCAAGAGTAAATGGGCCTCTATATTTGGGTATATTTGGGGATATTCTACATTTTTTCCACTACAACAAGAACTCAGTAGAGTTACCCCTACTAAAAGTAGAGAAGTTGTTTCCAAGAGACCCCCAGCTCAAGCACACGGCTCCACATTTACTCCAACACTTTATGAAATTTCATTGGAGGTCCACTTTAACTGTGAGCATTGCCAATTCTAGTCAACTTTCCACGGAAGGCCCTCAAAATGATAGACTATGAAAGGGACTAATAGTAGCATTGTTCCAAGTTTTTAAAGACCTTAGTTAATTGACATAGAGGACTAAAACTGACAATGTTCACAACCAATATGAACCTTCGATAGAGTTCTATAAAGTAGTGAGCTAAATGTGGAATATCCTCAATTGTAGAGGATCATTTGTAGAATTTACTCTAAAACAAATATCAACCACTGATCGGAATTTAATCCATACTTGCTCACCAGCCTTCACTGGTAATGGGCTTCGCAAAGAGAATAAGTAATCCCGGGAGAAAAGACCATTGGTTCGTCTAACTTCATATGCATGATCTTCCATGGTAACTCTATCACTGTGATTGATCTAATGCATTCAAAAAAACATAGAAATCAAGTGAGAAACCAATCACTCTTTCATTGTTTCACCCCAATTCTTAACACAAATAAAGTCAGTGTTATAGAACCACCAATTTACATGTAGGAGGACTGCGCCTTGACCACCTAGAGGGTGTTTGGGACTGATTTAAAAATGATTCTTAGCTTTTGTTTTGGATAAAAGCAGTTTGGAATGTTTGAGAATGTCTGATTTTAATCTTTATCTAGAGACGGGGAAGCAGAAGCTGAGCAGTGCCTCTGAGAAATTAAGATTCTGATGTCAAAATAATCACTTTTCAAAAAATAAGCACACCCAAACACCCTCCTAGACCAATTTTTAGATTATTAATGTGTGAAATGGAGTAGAAACGATTCATCAATAAACACTTCTTTTGTTCATCTACGAACTTACCAAGTCTGCAAATGGAATCAAAATAAGATTTTGATTTCGAAGATGGGAAAATGCCCTCGATCTGAGGATACCAAATGCCCAAAAGAAGTCATCCAATGTTATAGTGAATGGGAAGAGCTGCTTGTTTGGAACTACAACTTCTTCTACAACTTTCTGGAACTCAGTTTGAACATAATCTTTAACACCAATAGTCGTGCTTAATAGCTGAGTACCTGCAAAGTCTCGTTCACTAAATCAATTGCATCATTACAAACACATGTAAGGGATAGAGGATCTTGTTTGTTAAAACAGGGAAAGGAATGTTCTAATGGCGTGTTTGGATCCATGAAAATTCTAGGGACAGGAAAGCAAATGTCAAGATAATTTACAAATGTTATCTTTCCTAGTAATTTTGTTCATTGCTAATCGAGCTAAACGAGTCATCATTGACAACGTGTTAGTTTCGAGAACATAATGGACTAGAGATAAAAGGCACATTAAAATTCCTTTGTTGATTACTCTATATGAAATTTTGGGCAATAAATGCAACAATGCATCTAGGGTGGGTCTAACAGGGACAATGCTGCATACATTTTGACCTCCGAGACCTAAATAGTGTTGGGATTATGCTGGGTTGTTGTCATTGTTGTAGATTTCTTAGTAATATAAAAAATATAAAGTAAATGTGAGTATAAAATATCTAAAATGAATATACTGTGTTTAGCCTAAGTTTTAATTTTACCCTCATTCTCTTTCCCTATCATTTAAGGGGATCCAAAACCATAATGCACCCTAAGAACCTCCAAAGGCACAAATCCTTTCTAACAAGTGTTTTTAAAAATTAAAAGGAGAAAATGTTACCTTGAAGCTCAGCAAGCTCCTCTTCTGACCTGCACTGAAAGGGGCATTTCAAGTGACACTTATCAACACAACCTATAGTAACACAAGCACAAAACAGCTTGCCTAATTAGTAACCATAAGTATCCAAAAATTCCTAGTTGGTACCATGTGTTAGTAACCCTAAACCTATCTATTGACAACACAGTTACATTTCGGACAAAAAATGCTTATGTGGCCACTTGGACTACATTTTTGGAGTGACTATAGGCACAATTTGGTAACATTATGAGCTTTTGGAGGAAAACCATACTATGCAAGGCGGCTTATTTGGATGACAATTCTCCTCCAAACTCCCAAAATGTATACAATTTGAGCTGAAATTTCATCCAACCACAAACTCAGTAGAATCCCACACAACATAGACTTTGGAAAGAGTGAGTATACACAAACCTTGCCCTTACTTGGAAGTAGAGAGGTTGTTTCCAAGAAACCCCGACTCAAATAAAAGTACATGCAAACAAGCAAACCCCCGTAGCACTAACGAAGTAAGAGTAAAGAGAGAAGAAGCACACACAACAAATTGAAAACTCAAACAACTAGATCCAAAGCACACAACCACACCCTATAGACTATGACATAAAAACCAAGCCAACAAAAACTACAAACTCCCAAAATGTAAAATTAAAAGTTGTACAAAACTACAAATACAGATAGAGTTCGTAAATTATGAATTCTCATAGTATCCATTTGACATAAAACCTAAAGAATGGTGTTAATATCCAAATTAATCATCATAAGAATCATAGAACTACAAAACAAAATCAGACATACCAGAAAACAGTAGAATTGGTGCAGTCAGGAAGGGAATCCAGGTAAGATCTCCAAACAGAATCAGCCATTTGCTTCTCTCTCAGCAAGAACAGAGCCACAGCAACCCAAGGCTTCAACCCAGAGCACACGCGCCCAATCGCAGAGTTTCCAACGGTGTCCGGATTGATCCAGAACCTTCTGGGCACCTCCAAAACGACACCGTTTCTCCCAATGTCTTTGGTGGCGACCAACCCTAGCCCTTCCGGGACGATTCCTGGCCTCACTGGCGTCTTCTTTGACACCACTCCTTCTTCAGATCCCCACTGCCAGAGAGTCTTGACGGGCTCCGGAAGTTCGTGGCTAGTATCGGAAGGGTGGGCTGATGCTAGAAAGACTGGTGTGAGATGGTGATGGAGGAAAGGTCTTGTTTTCAGGAAGAAGATTTTGTGTTTTGGTGTGGAGAGTGAAGAAGAAGGCGAGGAGGAAGAAGAAGGGTAGAGAGGAAAAAGGGTGGCCATTTTTATCTCCCGTTTAATTTTGGTCTTTGACATTTTATTCTATGGAGTACGGAGTATAATTCTATCTGACAGATCATTTTCGAAACAATTTAAAATACAGAATAACTTATGTCAAAAAAAAGAAAAAACTACCTAAAATAACGTCAAGACCTTTCAAAAACTGGAGGACGGAGGGAGTATAATAATTCTAACTTTATTAAAATTTGCAAGTTTTTGGATCATCGTGAAGTTGTTAACAGCGGGTTAAGAGAAACGATTTGTTTTGCGCAACAAAAAGAAAATAAGAATTGTTTTTTTATGAATTTTCTTTTTTTTTTATTTTTTTAAATTGTATTTAAATTTTTAAATATTAGTCTTACTTTTAAAAAATAAAAATAATAGATATAAAATAACCAAAATGAGAAAAGTAAATAAAATGATATAAAAATAATGAATTAAATAAGGAAATCAATAGAAATTAATTTTAAAGTGGTAAGAAATAAAAAAAATATACAGAGTGGTAGGTTTTAATATTTTGCACACTATACAAAGTAACTATACAAAATATTAACGTATCACTTCTTATTTTTTTGAAAAAAAGTATCTAGAATAATTTGTACTTTACCTGATTACCTGTTTTTTTATTAAAAAAAAGTAGTACATGAAGAACTCTATATATAGTGTGTAAAATTTTAAAACCCACCAATCCGTATATATTTATTTTATTTTTTAACATTTTCAGTTTAATTTCTATTAATTACATTATTTATTTCATTAATTTTATATTTTTTAAAGTTATTTTTCTCATTTTTCATTATTTTTATATCTATTTTTATATTTTTTTTAAAGTAAAAATAATCTTTAAAAAAGAAAAAAAATGGAGGTAGAAAGTAGTTTTGAAATTTTAAAAGAAAATTTCAAAAAAAATCAAAAAGTAAAAATTCATCAAAGATAATCTCAGCTTTGAATTCTTCCAATTCATTACGAGTCTATCATGTTTCTTCCAACAACAATTTAAAAACGTATTTATATATGATTAATATAAAATAATATTATAAATTCAAATTTTGTAACATATCGCCTCAAACACGGACAATGATGAATTATTTTTTATCGAAAATAAAATTTTTCTTACATATTTATTTAGATGATTGTTTAATCGAGTAATTTTTTAACAATTAAATTCTTCCCAATATTTTCCAACTCTTTTAAATTTTTATCAGACTCATCATTTCTGTCAACATCCAACTCCAAAATTTCAAGGTTTTAAGTTTGGTTATACTCTAATACTAAAGGAATAAAATCTCTCTATGATATGTGGTGTTATGTATTTTTCATTACAGTGATAATTTAAATTGACACGGATGGACTAACATTTAAATAAGTTTTCAAGCTATTTGATGATCAATTAAGTTATTAGACCGGTCGGTAAGGTGGTGTGATGGTGCGCCGTGAATCCCGTGATGACCACCTAGCGCTGCCCGAATGTGATGGCGTATAATAATCTTTCACTAAATCACTACATGTAACTTGCACCAAAACACCATTACATAAGAATATGATGATCTAAAATTGTTACTCCCTCCGTCCTAAAATTTTCTTCCCGGAGCACTATTTCAACTTCACGGGAATTTATATTTATTTGTGTTTTTTCATGGCCTATATGATAAAATAAAATATTCTTGTCACCACTTGTTTTGTTGAACTTTTGATGTAGTTTTTAAATATGTATGTTTTATTTTTTATTTCTATACCAATATTTAAATAAAATAGATTGAAAAAACTTGAAATTTTTCTTCGTTTTTCCATCATCTCCGATGGAGCCAAAATTTCACCTGTTTTTGGCTTTGGGGTGTGATGGAATAAATCAAAATGGATATCTAAACTATTTGCGCTTCTTTAATTAATGAAGTAGCAGTTAGTCAAGCAATGCAACTTTCGACGTTGAGCCGGGGGTCTCTTTGGAAACAGCCTCTCTACTTTCGAGTAGGGGCAAGGTCTGCGTACACACACCCTCCCCAGACCCTACTCTAATTTCTAATTTAAAATATCTAACTCGTACCCAGATGGTTATGAATATTTCAACCTAAATTTTTAATTAGGTTTGAAATTTGTCCTTTTCTTCACCTAGAAGACAAGAACAAACATATTGGCAATCTTCTCGTTCAACTCAAGTTCATCTCCTAGATTATTACTCCTTACATCCCAGAGTATTTGTCCACTTTCATTTTCACACACAATCCAATGCACTTCTTTAATCCATTTTATCTTATAATTTGTATATTAAAAAATTATAGAAATTATATATTAATAATCTATATGTTAAGACAAATCAAACAAGATCATACATGACTATATTTAGGCTTACATATTGAGAGAATTTGATGAGTCAAATTGCTTAGATGAACAGTTCTAAAAGTCAAAAGTGGACAAAGACAGGTAGTACTATCTATCTACGGAGTATCATTTAAGATCTCCTTGTTGATAGTTCACAAAGTTAGGAGAAGAAAACAGTATTTATTGATAATATCACACAATCTTCTACATGAGAATTATCACATTACATGATTGACACTATTAAAGAAACTGCAGTTTCAGGAGGATAATCACACAATTAAGATTTCTTTTTTCATAACACCACACAAATTCCATGTTCAAAAATGAAGATCAGAATCGAAGGAAAGGGGTAATGATTAAGCAGAGATCTCAACGGATTTGACCTCAGGTTTCTTCTTGGCTTCCTCTTTGGGGACGGTGACTGTGAGCACGCCGTTCTCCATCGCCGCCTTCACCTGATCCATTTTGGCATTCTCCGGCAGGCGGAACCGCCGCAGGAACTTGCCGCTGCTCCGCTCCACGCGGTGCCACTTGTCCTCCTTCCTCTCCTCCGCCACCTCTCTGCTCCTCTCCCCGCTGATCTGCAGCACTCTCCCTCCCTCCTCCACCTCCACCTTCACCTCCTCCTTCTTCAGCCCCGGCAGATCCGCCTTGAACACGTGCGCCTCCGGCGTCTCCTTCCAGTCCACCCGCGCGCTCGCGAACGCCGATACCTCCGACCCGCCGCCGCCGGACAGCCGGAGTCCTTCGAACGGGTCCCACAGATCCAGAGAGAATGGATCGAAAACGCCGCTCCGGCGACCTCCAAAGATGCTCGGAATCAGAGACATTTTCACTTTATCAATTGAATCGGTGAGATTTGAAGCTTGTAGATTCGGAAATAGCTAATGAATGAATAATTCGAGCGGATTGGTTTCGTCTGGTGAGGAATGGGAGGAACAGGAAACAGATTTATATACGAGAGAGACGACGGTTTCTGAACCTTCACGAATCTTCCGTAGAACACTTCTTCTACCATCTTCTTCCATTTTCTCTTCTCCAGAGTTCTACACAGTTCCTCCGTCAAATATCCAATTAACAGTTTTCATGTTTTGGCAGCTGAATTTTAATTTAGAACCTTTTGAGAAACCGAAATTATTTATTTTTATTATAATATCAGACTAGATCATGTTAGAAATATAATTGTGTTTTGAATTGCGTACTTTATTCATCATACATGGGGGTATTTATACATACACGGGGAAGAAGTAAAGTCTAGGTAAACAAGGTAACCAGATATTCTAAATAATAAGAGTAATATATCTGCCATATTTAACACTCCCCCTCAGATATATCATCGTTCATTATACACTAACAACATTATGCTACAGGATAATGTTGGCTAGGTTCTTAAGGACCTATATTAACTGATACTGCAGGATCAGTTATGCTGCCTCATTAAAAACCTTACTAAGAAAAACTCAGTGGGACAAAACTTAGTTAAGGGAAAAAGAGTACAGCGTGTATAATGTTTTCCCTCAAAATAAAAATATACTCCCCCTCAAACTAATTTGTCTCTTTTAGACTGCGAAGTCCAATCTTCTTTATAAGTTGCTCAAAACTTTGTCTTGGCAGGGATTTGATGAATGAGTCCGCCAAATTTTGCTTGATTTAACTTGAAGAACATCGATCTCTCCTTCTTTTTGCAGATTGGATGTTGAGAAAAAACTTTGCCGAGATTTGCTTCGTTCTGTCTCCCTTGATGTAGCCTTCCTTGATTTGAGCTATGCATGTTGCGTTATCTTTATATATAACCGTAGCATTCTTTTTGATTTCTTTCAAACTATATGCTCCTTGTATGAGATTCATCAACAATCTCTACCATGCTCGCTCTCGATCACTGTCGTATAATGCTATCAGTTCGGCTTGATTCCATGCTATTGTTCGTGCTCGCTTAGTCGACTTCCAAGAAAATGTCGTATCACCATATGTGAACACATTACCTGTCTAATTTCACACTTAAGTTTGGTACTTCTGGACCAAGTACATCTTCACCCTCTTCTGGGAGGCGATTAGAATGTTATGTATATATATATGAGTGAACAACCATGGGTATGTTCAAAGGATGAGCTTTATCCATATTTCAACATGTTACCATCTTCTGGATGTAGTTTAAATTATGGACAAATGTCACGTCATATAGGAGTTTAAAATACAATCTAAAGTATAATTTATGTCATGTCAGGATCTTCCTTCTCAAATTCTCTCTTCAAGAGTTTAACAGTTTTTTCTATCTCTTCAGGAGATCTAATGATATTTGTACGTCGACGTAAACTGCTATAATAAAGAATATTGAGAGTGATCCTTGAATGACAACACATAGGTTGATTTCGAATTTGTATCTTTCTTTTTTTTGAGATATTCACTGGGTCAATTGTACCACATATGACCAGATTACTTGAGACCATTCCACGATCTCTTTACACATATCTCAATGTATTAATTTTATTGCTTCTGGCATCTTGAATCCTTCAGGGATTATTATCACACAGATGTCGATTTCAAGTGTCCCTTATAATTATGTAATAACGACATCTATATCATTTATTTGAAGTCCTTTTGAGATTGCGAGGCCAATTAAAATTCTAAAAGGATATTGCATCCACTAGTGGAGAATACGTTTCCTCATAATCAACTTCTGGGATTTGGGAAAAACTCTTGCCTTACAAGAAGTACTTCATAGCGCACAATCTCATTCATTTTATTTCTGTTTATTACAGACACCCATTTATAACCTATTGGTTTGACGTCTATGGGTGTTCGGACTTCAGGTCCGAAAATATTCCGTTTATTGAGTGACTTATATTCGACCTTCAGGGTCTTTTTGCCATTTGGCAAATCATTTATGTACTATCTACATGTACTCTTCTTCGAGTTTTAGGCATGTAATCTCTTTTATTGATTACATCTATTACCATAGCATATGCAAGAATATCATTAACACGTGTTTTATTTTGGTTTTATATTGTACAGTCTCGTACATAATTAATAGAGATCTCATTTAATTTTCTTTCGGTACCGATGTTTCTTTAGGAAACTTATTCTTCTGGAATCATATTAGTCTCTTCCAGGACATTTACCTCTTCTGGGGTTTCATTTTCTTCTAGAATAGTATTAGTCTTCTTCTGGGACAGTTACCTCTTCTGGGGTTTCGCTCATAATCATACATGTGGTTTCACTAATAGCATTTTTGTTATCTTCATTTTCATGGGTTCTTATCTTTGGAACCGATTATTCTCCCACTTTCATTGTACAATAATCACTTTTGGGACTTTCATAAATTGAGCGGTGCATAAGATACTGGTATATGTAACTTTGTCACTCTACTCGTATATGAGAATGCATCTAGTAATTCATTTGCTCTTCTTTGCAGATCAAACTTCAAAATTACATTGACCACTTCAGGAGTCAAAAATTTACAATGATGCATTTCATATAATTTCTTGTATTACCAGTCTTTCATTATTCTTGTCTCCCCCTAAGACTGGGAATATTTCACCATAAAATTGACAATCAACTTACTTTGATGTTAATATATCTCCTGTCAAAAACTCTAAACATTTAACAATAGACAAGGAGTTATAGCCAATGTCAATACACAGTCTTCTACATTATATTGAATGCATTGTGGGGGAGAGGGCATATAAAGCACACAATCAAACAATCAAATATTGTGAGAAGGGACAAACTTGTTTCTCTTCAAGAGATATCAAGTGTAAGAAACTCAAAATTTTGAAGATTTGACATTTTATTTATAGGGAAGGATTAATAAAAATGAACATGTGTATATAAAATACATGTGAAGGAGAACTTCAGCTTCTCATATGTTGGAACTACAAGTTCCTTATAATAAGACCATTTTTTTATGGTTGAGAAAATATCAAGAATTCACTTCTAACCAAAGTGTTTACAATTGAAACATAAAATCCATAATGAGCACTTTATTTGCAATATCTTAATACAATCTTCTTTCTTGAACTTCAGGTTCACATCTTTAATTGAAGAATATATATAATCTAGCATATGTCATGAGATTTATCTTCCATTCAACTCCTTCAAAAACATTCCCTCAGTGCCTACCTACCATTGTGGTATCTTGATAATTTATCTTAATTTAAGCCCATTAAGCATCTGCTCCAAATAATTACCACATAAATGAAGATTCAAAAACCAGTATAAAATGATTTGTTCCCATAATCAAAAGTATAGCCACTAATTTGATGCACTTTGCATATTAATTAGAGCTGCAGGCTCTTATGTGACTAATGATGTTCAACATAACCTATAAATTATGTCTATATGACAAATATCATAAACTTCGGGTTACGAGTTAATTGTCAATAAATATGACAAATATAACCATGCATCATATATAACATTTAAATTGTGATCACAAATAGTTGATGGACACAATCAATTCTCCTTGAACAATTTCTTAATATGTATGAAATGAATCTCAAGTTTCATTAGTAATAATCTCATAATAATCTTCTAATGAGAACAACACTATAGGATCTTCTGGTCCTAATAATAACAGAAACTTCTAGTCCTTCAAATAGTACTCACTTGAGTTCTTAATGATTTTTTTTCACATCACAAACTAAATCGTGATAATTTAATTGGTTATGTTTAAAATAAAAATTGGTTGAGTAAACTTCTGGTTTACGTGAAAACAAATCTCGATCAAGTGTCATGTAATATTCATTTTCACTGGTATCTTAAACATTAATAGAGACACCCTAAACAATAAGGATTTGTCTATACCCAACAGAATATTCGTCAATGCGGGATAATAACTATTCTCTCAAAATATTCAATATTTATGAGATTTTTATTACTTCTATTATGCAGCTCTTATTATGCAATGCTCTTCTGGAGCTATCTATAAGTTTTGTATAACAAGAAAAATTATATTTACGCTTTAAAGAGAAAAGAATCTCTTACATCTAAAAAAATATAATATGTATAATCACTCTTTTGATTATTATAAATTTACTACATCATTCTTCAGGAATATTGATGAGGAATCATAGATTGATTAGAACAAAGGTCTTGAAATATCAAAACGTGTCTGCATAATGAGATTTTTTTACTAAAAATAAGCCACTTCAAGTGGTAATTAAATATTATAAGACCTTAGGTAATGTCTCATATACTCATATATTGTGTTTGATGAACATGATGACTCTTATTTAATTTAGGAGATTATACATCTTAAAAATTTCTTTTCAGAATTCAATATTCTTCAGGAATATTTAGATTCAAATAGTCAATGTTTAAAAAAATGTAATTCTACGTGACCATAATAGTGACTTTGATGTGTCCATATGTATAACCACAATAGTTGTGATAGCCTATTATATTCATGCAGGTCAATCAATTTTTCACTCACTTCAGGGAATGAATATGTAACATGATTTATTTTTCAAAAAAATCTTTCCTAACAATGGGAAAAAATGTAACCAAATATGGAGTATATGATTTTTTTTACACTACCACTTTAGAGGAAATTAGATTCTCAAATATTATTTTGTAATCTCAAACCACATATAACATGCAATTACATATATTGGTCACACAAGTTTTATTCCAAGATTTGTAATTCACATTAAAATGTAATATCATTGCATGAGGATAAAATGCATTGAACAAAAAAAATCATTAGGCCATTTTACTTCAGGAAAATGGTAAATGCATGAGTAAAAAAAATCTATTTTGTTATTCTCTTTGAGAGATTATGAAGTTTAGAATAGATATCAAATTTGATTTACTTTAAGGATAGAATTTGACACTTTGATTGAAGTTCTCTTTTATATGTCATATACTCCGTACTTTGTATTTCTTATATACGAATCAACAAAAGCATTTATCACATTTGGGATCAAGTAATAAAGTATGCATTTTTTTCACAAATCTTTTATACCAAGGTACAAAAATGTAATGAAATATGTAGCGTATAGAATCATTAACTTTCTATACTACCACATCAAAAGGGAAATTAAAAACCCAAACATTATTTTATAATCTCAAACTAAATATAGTATGCAATTAGATATTGGTCACATAAACGTATTGCAATGTATTAATTACCCAAGAGTATATCAGAGTGAAATATGATGACATCTCAAAAAAAATTAAGTAAAATAATTTAATTTAAATATGAATCATTAGACCAATATACTTCTGGAAATTGGTTAATTACAAGCTAAGTTCAATCTCTTCAATTTACTTTTGGGAAAAATCAAATTTGAGATCAAATAATAAAATATGCACTTACATATAGTTTAAAATTCACCTTTATCATCATTGAAATAGGCAAATATTAAAATGCACAATTTCATGCCCCTAGCATCAACCAAGAAAATAATCCATAATTGTATATTCAAATGCATTTTGTTTATCCAACATGAATATATATTTTAGGATTAAGTATCAAAATGTAGTAGAGAAATCTGACACAGTGAATTGAACATTATACTATCATTTGCAGCCATTTTATCAAATGATACTGAATTTGTATTGTTGTTTGTTTAAAACAAACCGAATAAACTACGGAGTATCATACTAATTAGATTGCAGTTATTGTTCAAATTTCTTGATAATCCTATACGGGGTATATAACATGCACTCAAAATTCAATTTCAAAATGCAATCTTTAAATAATTTGCAGTTTTCAGAAAATTAGAAATACCTGGACCGTGCTAGAGGGAAACAGATCATGAATCGAAAATGTAATCAGGAGATCAGACCTGTATGAGTTCTATCCAGCTTGGGATTTTGAGCTATTATATGATGTTCTGGTCGTGACTTCAAAAAACCAAGAGCTATTGCAATTTCTTCATCTAATGCTTCATATCGTCTGGTTCAGTGTTACAGTCTCCTTTTTTTTTAAAGCAAACAGTCTATATTTGCCTTAAAATAGAAAATTGAGGACTCAATGCACAACCAGTGCGCTGTAGCTATTGGCGGCGCTAAGTCAACTAACGATTCGTGCGGCTGCTATACAAAGCTAGTCGGGATGGAGATTGAGAAGAATGCCACCTTAGCAGCGACGAGTTTCTTCCTCTGAGGACATTGTGAGCCGCGGATCTAGATCGGAGAACAGAGAAAAACCGTCGCCAGGCACGATGTGAGTCGGGACAGCCGGAGAATTGTGGAGGGAATAGATCCGGGGACGAGAACCGACTGCAGGGTGATTCCTTGCGCTGATATGCGAAAATCTAAACCGAGCCAGCCCGCCGGGGTTCAAGTGCCTGAGATAAGACGTCGATGCTGCATCGGCTCGCAGAAACATAATCCTGGCGTGGCGGCCCATGGCAGAATATGGCGGCGAAACAGTGAGATGAAGATCCGAAGGCGATTAGGGATAGAGATGGAGAGAGTAAAAAATTAGGGTTTGAGCTCTTCATCATATATGGGAGTATTTATACATACACGTGTTTTGAACTGCGTACTTTATTCATCATATATGGGAGTATTTATACATACACGGGGAAGAAGTAAAGTCTAGGTAAACAAGGTAAGCAGATATTCTAAATAATAAGAGTAATATATCTGCCATATTTAACAAATTGTAAATAGATCAGATCATACCATATCAAATCAGATCTTCAAAAAATTAGACAAGATCAGACAAACGGAACATGGAAGTCTATCTTGCTAATCAGTCAATTCACAACACTTTTTATAATGCAATTACATTTACATATTTCCATTCAAATTAAATTCTATCTTTTATAAAATAATAATCTGAAATAATTAAAAATTATTTTTGGATTTATTCTATTTTTACTTCGTTATTTTCCCAGTTTTTTATATTATAACAATAAAATGCACAAAAAAACAATTATTTTAAAAACTCATATATTATTTTACACTATATATATTGAGAAAAGGTTTATATTTTACAAATTAAATATAAGAACACATACCTTGCAAAAATTGTAAAATGCACTATCTCGACTTGTTTTCCAGACATCTTTAGAGAGTACAATTTTTCATCTTTTGAGTATATATTTTAAATAAATGAAAGATAAATAATTAAGAAGAGAATGTGTTTAAAAATATATAAAGATTGTATAGTTTAAATAGAAGAGAGTGTAGGGAGTTTGAAATATGAAATTTGATTTTTAAAAACAATCTGTTTATGTCATTCAACAGATAGGGAGAGGGGAAAAGCAAAAAAATGTCAGAAGGAGCGTCGTGATCGTGGCTCCTGCAAAACTCACGCTAGACGAATCATGAAGGGAGGAAGCAGTGTTCTACATCGTCATACGGGGATGTGGAAGACGAACCATGGGAAGGTGGTGTGGGGCGTTGCGCCTAGCCTTGAAGAAAAAAGTTAGTCACAAAATTTTAAACTATAAAGTAGTTTTTCGTGAACCTTACTAAAATAATAAAATAATGTTAAACATAACTTTAAAAATGTTAAGTTGGTGAATCTTGTAATTATTTATTTGTGACTCTAACATGTATGTATTCTAGTTAAATGTTTGATTCGCTTTCAATGTGAACATTTTGATTAACTATATGTAATATATATATATATATATATATATATATATATATATATATATATATATATATATATATATATATATATATATATACCTTGTACAATTAACTAAATTATAAAAAAATATTTAATATTTGTATCGAGTCTTGAGGTTTCCAAGACCACGTTCTTGAAATTGCAATATTGTCGGGTTAGATTCTAATTTTGTTCTCGTTGATTTCTAATGGAGCCAAAATTTCACCATTTTTTGGCTTTGGGGTGTGATGGAATAAATCAAAATGGATCTCTAAACTGTCTGCGCTTCTTTAATTAATGAAGTAGCAGTTAGTCAAGCAATGCAACTTTCGACGTTGAGCCGGGGGTCTCTTTGGAAACAGCCTCTCTACTTTCGAGTAGGGGTAAAGTCTGCGTACACACACCCTCCCCAGACCCTACTCTTGTGGGATTTAACTGGGTTGTTGTTGTTGTTGATTTCTCTAATAAGGACACTGCCCCCTGATATCCAGGATGCTTTGGTGAGTGTTCCATTTGGTAGAATCGTTCAGAATTTGGAGAGAAGTTTTAAATATTTTCAGATCCCTCGTGCTCAGAACTTTTTGATAGTCATCCCCACTGAAGGACTGGGCCTAGACATGTCGTCTGTGGAGTATCGGGCAATGCTTATGTACCAGCTAATAATCTATATCTTTCCAATTGACGAGCCTTGTCCAATTGTTTATAAGGTTTGTTTAGATAATTTTGGTGATTATGCGGTCCATTGCAAAGAGTTATCTGCATTAAAATTTAAGCATAATTTTATCGAATATGTTCAAGGTGATGTTCTAAAGTAGGCAGGAATTTGACCTAAAAAAGAGGCTCAGATGAACTTCTTGATGGATTCGGTTAAAGGTAGGTCCACTCTATGACCAGACGATATTCTTGTGTTGGATGGTTGGAAGGAAACACGTTAGTATGAAACTTACAATAATATTTTTTGATTTTTTTAAAATACACTCGTACCTTTTTATGTAAATTTTTTAAGGAAAAAAACGGATAAAAAAACAAAAATCAAGCCGATCAATCAATGATTCAAATTTTTTTTATGTAAAATCGAATCAAATAGTTACCTTCAGTAGTTCAGTTTGGTTTTTTATTTGGATAAAAATCAAACAAGAAAAATAACCCTACGCACATTGCACATCACATCCCTTTAGCCAAGACAATGTGATATCTGTTTATACATTCTCAATCTATTAAAGCTCGTAGAGTTACTGTCCGCACTGGAGATCGACCATGTGACCTCTCATTTGAGAAAGTCATAACGGTGTCATTGGACTACAAGGTCCTTGCCTCCTTGGCACGCCAGTTTTGCTTTTTCGCACACCTGCTCATAAAATAAACTCTAATATACTCGTAGTTAATATTTGGTAATTGAGGAGATATTTTAACACTACAAGTTGGTTGGTATACTACTTTTAGTAAATGTGAAAAAATGAGAAGTTTTCACTCAAACTTATTGAGCTTTTCTATTTTATCTCCGTTTATTCGCATTTTACATTTGGTTGTTTTGCTCACAAAATTGTACATACTCTTGCACTTTTATATACATATATACCTCCCTCATGTCCACAATTTGTCAAAGGAGAACTTGACTTATGATCACCTGCTATGCGCTTCGAGAGAATTTTCGTTCATTCTTTTTTTCTTGAAAAACATCGTGAATATGTTATTCGTCCTTGTCTCCATCCTCATCGTCGTGGTAACTAAATGGAAGGGGCACTGACTTGAATGCGCGATACTTGCCCACATTGTTTAGGTGTTCATTCTCCAACCTGAGGAAAAAAAATTCTTGGTAAATTTAGTGTGTCGTTTATGCTTCTTTTCCATTTAAGAGTCCAATGTATACCGCAATTTCATAAAATTATCAGCAAGATTGGAGACAAGGTAACTTTTTGTAGAACTTTACTGGTTTTGTTGTTGTTGATAGGATGGAGGCATGGTAACTTTTTGTAGAATTTTACTGGTTTTGTTTTTGTATTGGAGACCACAGTAACTATATTTTTATGGAGTACCTGAAAAAGTTCCACATGCCACGACGAAGAATTTCAAGGCAGGAAAATATGCTTGATATTCTATTCCCGCGCAAAGAAGCAACATTAAATTTTAGCACGAGCTGCAGCCAAGCAAATCTGAGGGCAACGTCCAAAACCTGCAGGGTGGTAAATAAAAGAAGTGCCGTGTTTTAACCATAGCGACATATGAATGAACAAAGAACTTGGAAATTCGGAATGATGAAAAGCACTAAGAATTTCACATTACCATAGCTGTAAAATATACACTCGCATGAGAAACAACGAGTTTATTTCGAAGAAGCCTGTTCCTTGATTTCCTTCGCAGGAGACCCCAGTCTACAACAATATCCCAATACGTGTTCATTATGGTTGCGAGAACTGACATTAGTATGGCAAAGACTTTCCAGCTCAATCTCCCTTTCAGTTCAAAAGCTGTTCTAATAGCTACTGCCACGATTGTCAAGAAGTATCTCAAACCATTATACAAATGTGCAATGTCGTTCTCTTCAAACAGCCGGCGAATGCACTGGATGACAAAGATTGTGAAGTAAAGACCTTGTGAGTGTTATTAGTTGGAATTGTAATGCATTTAGAAGACAACTGATTAAAGCAAAACCCGGATTAGACCTGGAGGAATCGAAACCAGTACGGGAAAAATGCAAGGATGAAATAGAACACATCATAGATGTCGTGACCGTGACATTTGTTTTGTCTCTCTTTGGGATCTTTCCATCCATAGTAGCAGACATAGTACTCCAAAGTCCTTATTGCTTCTACCTGGTGTCATTGAGTCAAAGTTGTAAATTATAAATTAAAAAAAACAAAGACCAATGAATCACATGTAACATAACCAGGCCAACATCAACTGGATAATAAACCTGGCTTGTAAATTGGTCTGCCAGAAAAAAGTCTGGAAGAGTGACCTGCAAAGAGCTTAAAGAGTGAGAAGCATAAATGGGTAATCCATATCATTAGTCTTTCCAATCGAATATGCTTACCTTGTAGAGAGGTGCACAGACACAATGAAAAACAGTTTTAATGAGGAAGAACCGACTTGATCGGTACATTATGTTAAAGGGGCAGAACAGAAGTACAAACAGAACCTGTAAGAATGCATTTTGTTAAAGTAAATGCCAACATGCAGCATTGCAGCACTAAGTCATTGATATTTGAAATTTATAGAAACATACAACGACCAATCCCAATGGAACAAACTCAATATATCTGCTATAATATTGAGCTCGTGAATCTATATTCAAGTGCACATGAGCCAGAAAGGTGCCAAGGACAAGCATCGCTAGACCGTTGCTTAGAAGAAAGACATCCCGGTAGCCCAATTCAGTCCCTTCCTTGAAACCAAAAATAAAAGCATAGTTGATTTTGTAGTGCCTCCAGAAATATAAGTTTGCAGCATAAAGAAGCATATGCAGCACGATATATGCATAAAAACTGCAGAATTGTGAATTAGTCAGTTCTATAGGATAGTATATACAAATATTTTAAAATGAAAACCCGAGTTATTCCTCTACCTGTAAAGTGGAAATATGTTGTCCAGATTAGAGGAATCACCCTCCATCACCCTTCTTGTATCTCTTAGCAAAGTAAGAGCAACTAACAAAGCAATTGAGCAACCAGAAAAGAAGCCTGGAATATAAGAACATACAAGAATGGGAAACACGTAACACAATAGATATACTGCACTTGTGTTTTGACATGTTAAAGGATATTGCTGCATGAAACACCTGCCTGAAAAAAATGTCACACGGTGCTTTTCTGACTTTGGCATTGGCCTCAATTTTTTCATACCCTTTCTTCTGTTAGAATTCGAGAAGTGTTTAATGAAAATGGACTCAACCCTATCCAGTAGACCAGAAACCTAAAAAAGCAGCATGGTTCAGCATGTTTGAAGGCTGGACGAATTTTCTGACGAAGATCTTTGAACCATAGAAATAGCACAATAAATTGAGTGTTTCTTACCCCAAGTCCCAACCTTGTCTGACAAAGAGTTAATATTATAATCCAAAGTTTCAAACATGTTAAGTGAAGATTAGTTCAAGTTCAGTCCAAGTTACGGGGTATTTACATTGCTGCTTCAAAATTGCTTCAAGCCTGGAGCATATTTTCATATGCTTTTGTTTGAAGGGATGGTTTTCTATTCTCATTCTGTTCGGGTTTTAGGTTCCTATTCATATTTCAGGGGAACCTTGCCCTTGGCACACCGGGTGAGGAGTTGTCGCGTGACCTTGAGATCACGGGTTCGAGTCATGGAAGCTTCTCGCGAAAATGAAAGTTAAGGTTTCCCTTTCTCCATTATAGTGAAACTCTTTCCAAGATCCTAACAGACTTGGGATTGTACTGGGTTCTCCCCATTATGATGGAACTCTTTCCACAGACTCCAAGGGAGTTGGGATAACACTGGGTTTTGTTGTTTTCGTAAATAACTTTCTCAAGTCGAGGTTCAGATTTGTTCAGCTTGAAAGACTAATTAAGAATTGACTTGATAAGACAATTAAGTGACTGTAAGTTTTTTATTCACATCGCTCCTGCATGCATATTAACTCACAACAAGTTTTATTAGGAATAATAGATGTATTAGGAAAAAGAATATTATTATTCATTACCTTCCTTATTGCATTACTTTCTTATATCATTGTAACTATAACTCTTCTCCTACTTAGATTAGAACTCTCTCTTGTAATCTCTATATATAGGGATGTATCCTTCATTATTCAATAAGACCAGTTATTATCAAATTGTATCAAGTTTAACCGGACCTCATCAGAGCTTCCGAGATAAGAGTTCTCCACCATTTTCATGTATGACCGTGCAGCTCTTCTTGACGTAATCTGTATTCACATTAAAAAAATTACTTGTCAATTTTCAGTTATGGAATTAAACTATTAAAAGGCTCACCATGGACCTTTACCAGATGCAAGTTTAATATTCAATGAATTCAATGAAGTTGCAATATCATGTGTGCATGCTATAAAGAATTTAATCCATTCTAGCTTATCACCTTTTCATACTTTTTCAGGATCTTGGAAAAGGCTGAGAGGTTTGTATAACTGTCATTGAGTCAGCAAACAGTTGCACACTTTTCAAAATAATATGAGAAATGGAACCGACAAAAAGAAAACATTTTTGAGGTAATGTTGCCACAATTATAGCTTATTACCTGAAGTTCTTTAGAAGATGAAGCTTTCGATAGAACTCGATAAAGGCTATTTTCAACCTTTGATCAACCTTCTTTAGTTCTTCTCTCTTGAACCTCAAATCATTTTCTTTGGAATCTCTCAGAACCCCTCTTATTGTAGACATTGGAGTTTCAAAGGTATTAACAATCTTTACACGATCAAGGATTTCCAGGGGGTGTTGTTCTTCATTTTCTGTAGCTGTGTTCCTTTCTGTACCAGAGTTGTATTTGGCATGATCAGATGACAATCTTTCAGGACTATGATCCACCCTTGGTGCCAAATCTATATGCTTCGTATCTGCAGTAAATAGTTGCAGAATAAACCAATAAAAGGTTTTTTTTCTAATTATAAATTTTGTAGATATGTCATATACTCATATGTTACACAGAAGAGAGGTGTTGCAATTTCCAATCCAGAAAATGACTAGCTAAAAATTAGTATGAAATACTGCCTTGGCCTCCAATAGGAATCATGTGAACTTCATAAACAAATAGAAAAAATGCATTGCAGAGTGACACAACGAAGCCTTTTCTGCAATTATTTTCTTGATTTTTTGAATTCACTATTACTTTCTCTATTGAGTTGATTGTAATAGATTTTATTCTTAAGCCTTGTATCTTCTTATATGAAAATATATTAAAACTTACATTGGGTATAAATTTTACTTGGGGAATGGAGATTATTAGGGAATGGCAAATTTCAATTGGTAGCTCTGAATCTGGAACTACCTCTTGAGGGCATTGAATGGTTATTATCTACAGAAAGCTGTTGCAGAGAAGCGGATGCATCGAAATCTGGATTCATCACCTTTATACGCAATGCAAGCAATACGTCCATCTGTTGGTTCAGCATTGCTGCTTCGCTTTTCACTTCCTCCACCTTTTCATTGTAAAAGGTATTGACCTTGTTAAGCTCATTGTCAAGTTTCTTGAAGAACATAATCTCGTTCTGTCCTCCTTCAGGGGGCTTCAGAAACTTGGAATGGTACATCTCTATGGAGTTCTCTTCTTGTACAGTGTCCACAGCTATAACTTGATCCTCAACATCTCCACTATTTTCAGCTCTAGTTTCCGGTCCACTGAAGGCCCTGTGGAACCTGTGTTTCTGTTGTGCCGGAGTTGTAGGTTGTATGGGTTTTTTGATATGGCGAATGTCTTGCAATATCCTTTTGAGTCCATTATAGTCCACATATGCTTCTACCCATTCTGGCACCTGCTGTTTCTTGAACTCTTTCCCAAACTTCATTTCTGTGCTTCTTCGCGCATGAAATGGTATAAGAAGTTCAACTCAAAAGAAAACACCAATCCATGAATTGTCAAAATCGTGATATCTTCCCACAGGAAAGGAAATATAGAAATCACCATACCTTATACGGAGTACCAAACAAAGCCACCCCTTACCAAAAGGTTACTGGATCCGGCTACTGAAATCAGAAATGAATGATCAAATTTCTATGTATCTCACAAAGATGATAGATTATGGATTGTACGGGAGTACAAGGGAGCGGATCCCCAGTACCAAACTCCATGTCCTAGCGCTCTGTACCACCCTCCAAAGGCTGCCACCTAGCACAACAACCTTTCCATTTTCAACTAAAAATACTTGTAAGATCTATCTCTCAATACAGTTTATACTTTTTTATTTTCACTCGTTCCAAAATAAATTGTTTATCCAAAAAAATTGTACAATGCACAAATTGTACTCAGTCTCCTTTTTAGAAAAAAAGTGCCGTGTACAATTTTATGAGATTAACATATTATTTGGAATGAATGAGAACAAAAAATATAAATTTTATTTAGAGCTAGAGACATTATCATTTTTACTTTTTAGTTGAAAATGGAAAGATTGTCGTGCTAGGTGGGCAGCCTTTGGAGGATGGCACATGGGCTGGGAACTGGGGATCCGCTCCCGATAGCTTTAATCATATTTAAGCTAGATAACCTTAAGTAACTTCATATGAGAGCATCGACCTAATAAGCTATGTTCGTCTATTATGCACAATCTATCTATGAGCATAAACAAGATCATACGAATCACACATTTCTTAAAATGAGATGCTTTATATATCCATAACATTTACTTCAATCAATTACTTTGGCATGACATACGATGAAACCGATTAAAAATCACAAGCTTAACCAAAGAAGACTGAAGAAGACTTGACAGTAGTGGACTGATTGAAACAAAGTCCATCAGCTTAACAAGGATCGTTCATGGAATTCAAATGCAAATAAACACATTCATACTCTGAATTCGCTCCTTCAGGACGGGACTCAAATCGATTGATCCTTCTGGGCAATCGCCAATCCGTAAACCACGGAATTTCAAATATGACGACGCGCAGGGGCTAGGCGCACTCACCCTCACGAAACTAAAACACATACAGACGCCGCCACGCCGGCGCATCCGTCGCAGGGTTACAGAAGCAGCAACGCCGGCGGGATATACATGCAGCCATCTGTATGTATATATTCATGTGTGGAGTATATTTGCGTATAAATTACGTGCAGATTTATACAAGCTCAAAACGGAGAAGGAACATTACCGGTGTTTAGAGAGAAGACATGGGAGGAAGCTGAGAGCTCGAAAATGGCGTGTAGAGGATTTCTTCTTCTTCTTCGCTTGGACTGCGTAATCGCGTTTACAGGTGGTTCGCAACGGAAAGTGGAGCACGGGGAATCCGGTAGTCTCTGGTCCAGACTGATAATTTACTAAATTCAGGTAGGAAGTGATAATTTAATTTAATTACTCCTTCCCGTCCTCTACTAATGTTATAGAATGCACGAGTTATGAAAAATAAAATTGTGTAGTTAAAATTGATACAAAAAATGATATATAAATCATACGGAGTATAAAATTTTCTAATATGGGAAGTCTATCTTTATTTTGGGATAGATAAAAAATCTAAAAATATTTTTAAATATGCAAAACATACCTTTAACATCACTAGATTCATAGATGTACCTTGCACGGGAAAAAAAGTTTCCAGAATAAAAATAACAAAATATTAGAGGTTTGCGAATAAAAAATTGTAAACCACTACAATATGCCATTCTTGAAATGCAACATACATTTGTTTATCTATTTATTCATTGTGTTATAAAAAAGAAAGCAAAACAAAAGACTAGCTAAAGTAGGGAGTATTCAAATTTTTTATGTTTTCTTATCCCATTTGTATTTATTAATTCCATAATTTAAATTTTGTCATCCTTTTTTCAAAGTTAATCAGTGATTTATTTAATACATAAGAATTTCAGTCAAAATTCACTTCAATTCTCACTTAAAGCCTGTCTAGCTAGTCACGTGCTAGAGAATACCCAAGAATATGGTTGTTAAAAAAGACGCATAATGATGGTGTAAATTATCGATCGGTATATCGTTTTAGCCCGGCTAAAACAATAAACTGGTCTAAAAAATACACCAAACTATAAACACGGGGATTTTTACGTGGAAACCCAAATCGGGAGAAAACCACGGGCCTTTTTTGGCGGTACCTTGCCAACGGGGGATTTTTATTGATATCGGGGGTGTGTACACGGTACAAGAATCGAGCTCGGAAGCCATTAATGGAAGCTTAAAAGCTTATTGAAGAACAAAAACTATAAAATGCTAGAGAGAGAAAGTATAGTGGACAGGGGAGAAAGTGATTTGGCCTCCTCTTCACATTGGGGGCACCCCTCCTTTTATAGGAGGGAGGAGGAGCATCTTCGGAAGAATATTCTCTTATTCCTCTATTTTATTAAACTGGCCCGGTTTGACTATTCTTCGTAAAATAATTGGAAAATGTGGGCCGAGCCACGTATTATTTCCCATCAATAAGTCCTCCACTTTTTTAAGTTGTGAGAATCATCAACTTGAAAAAGTAAACAAGTCCTCCGAGTGCTATCTTCTATCTTCGTACTTTGGATTCTTAACCGGTTGATATTGTTGCTAGTCCTCCGAGTCTTCATTAGTTCTCCAATTTCTTGAATCAGAAGGTTTTCCTGCAAAAATAATATGTACAACATTTTTTTTCTTGACCGGCCTATGCCGTGCTCAAATAATTTTATTATCTTTACCGAGGAGCTCGGTGTTAGGGTGATTAAACTTCGCGTGAATAATTATCGTAACAAGAGCGATGTCAGTTCGATTAAGCAACGATGCTTCGAGTAGTTATACGATACCGGAGTTAGTACGATGAAGCGGCGGTGCTTCAAGTAGTTATTTCGTCGAGACCGATGTTAGTACGAATTAAGTAAGCGATACATGACGAAATTAGCATACAGACGACATTGACGTTAGTTAATAAGAATTGAGTACGCTGCAGCAGCTTTGTTGAAGATCGATGCTAGCCCGGCTAACTGATGCAAATATCTTTGTGTCATGTAGAGACCACTTCTGGAATGCCTTGTTCAAAGGGCCTGAAGAATCGGGCGTCCCCGATAAGGGCTCAGCTGAGCCACCGGTGTACCCAATTCGATTGGGTTCAGACTTACGAGAAAATATGTGCAAGACCGGTGTGTATATCATCCTTGGCCTGTCTCGCGCACAAGAATGATATTTACCAGCGTGCCAGGCCGGGCCTGTGTCACATATTTTAATATTTTTTTATTATACTGAGCTAGACCGGTGTAGTAACCAGCGTGCCAGGCCGGGCCTGTGTCTCAGTCTTCCTCTTTTTTTTTAATACTAAGCAAGACCGGTGTTGTAACCAGCGTACCAAGCTCGGCTTGTGTCTCAGTCTTCCCTCCAAATTACCGAAGATGCATGCATCCTATACATAATCAGACATAATCAATTTGCGTGAGAATATATCATAGCTCCTTAGTGGAGTCTAGTGGCATGGGAATACTAGACGAAGTACTTCCCCACAAGAGTATAATTCCAAAGGTCATGGCAGCAATGGACCCCACCATCTTGCACTTTGCATTATTATCTCTTCTTGTCCACTTGTTAATTATTGGTACAAAGTATGTACCCACTCTCAAAATCTGCCAGATTGTATCCTTCATGTGCTGCCCATCTATGTTATCTAAATCATCTTTAATTCTTCATTGGCACGTTGCTGTTTGGCTCCGCGTGTGTTGGCAGTGAAATTGTAGATGTGATGGTGTGCCACATTCCCATAGTGACTATTTATTTGTATTTGTTCGGATTCTTCCTGGCCGAATAAGGAAGCTTCCCTGACTTCCTTCTTCGCCAATCATGGAGGAGCGCAAGGCGATGCCCACCGGAGGCAACACCCATCACTTCGGCCATCCCTCTTACTTTGTTTGTCACAGCAAATATAATAATATACTCAGCTGAGGCTGCAAGAGAACTTCACCTGGAATGGCAGCGGTGGAACTAAAATAGAGCCTCCAGGTAACGGTGGTGTAGTTCGGCAGTGGCAGGGATGGTGATAGATCTCAATAGTGGCGTCGGTGACAGAAGTCACGTTCCAGAGTAACGACGCAAATAGACTCCGAAGGGGGGTGAAGATGAACCCGCATGAGCTATGAAAGGACCACTGGGACAGGGGCAATTGCCGGCTTCCGAGGGTGTGGTGGTGATGAACTTGGGCAGCTAGTGATGTCGGCAAAAGAGAACGGGAATAGTCCTCCGGCAAAAAATAGATGGGCGGTTAACTTTGGCTTTAGCTTCAACCAACGTCGATGACGAATCCAACTCCGTTGTCAGTAATGGTGAACCCCAAGATTGTTATAAATAGACTCCAGCGGCTCAGGTACAACCACTAGGAAGCATCATGCAGCCCTCCGACGCTAGGCGTGGACGGCAGTGAATGGCACCAACGACCAACGATGATTGAGCTCGGCGGCAGCGGCAATCCCGTCGATTGAATTCAGCGGTAGCGGCAGGTCTGAGCGGCAGTGGCGGGTTTGAGCAGCGGCGGTGGCGGCTGGTTTGAGCAGCGGAGGCGCCGGCTGGTTTGAGCAGCGGAGGCGGCGGCTGGTTTGAGCAGCGGCGGTGGCGTCTGGTTTGAGCAGCGGAGGCGGCGGCGGCTGGTTTGAGCAGCGGAGGCGGCAGCGGCGGCTCTGAGCAGCAGCTATGGCGGACTCCAGAAGGTGAGGGGAAGGCTAGATCTCGATCTCCTGTAGCTCTGGGTGCTGACTTCTTCCTTTTTTGCTTTTGCAATGTGGGGGAGTAAAAAAAGTAGTGCTGCATGGGCGAACACACTACTTTTTTCCCGTGACTACTCTATAGTGGGGAGTTTCCCCTCCCCTTTTCTTTTATTCCTCTCACCATTTTTTTGTACATAAGAGATATACAGGATTTTGTGGTACTTCATGGGCAAGATTTCGGGTCCCACGGTCGGTGCCAAAATGATGGTGTAAATTATCGACCGGTATGTCGTTTTAGCCCGGCTAAAACGATAAATTGGTCTAAAAAATACACCAAACTATAAACACGGGGATTTTTACGTGGAAACCCAAATCGGGAGAAAACCACGGGCCTTTTTTGGCGGTACCTTGCCAACGGGGGATTTTTATTGATATCGGGGGTGTGTACACGGTACAAGAATCGAGCTCCGAAGCCATTAATGGAAGCTTAAAAGCTTATTGAAGAACAAAAACTATAAAATGCTAGAGAGAGAAAGTATAGTGGACAGAGGAGAAAGTGATTTGGCCTCCTCTTCACATTGGGGGCACCCCTCCTTTTATAGGAAGGAGGAGGAGCATCTTCGGAAGAATATTCTCTTATTCCTCTATTTTATTAAACTGGCCCGGTTTGACTATTCTTCGTAAAATAATTGGGAAATGTGGGCCGAGCCACGTATTATTTCCCATCACATAATATAGAGTATTCTTTAAGGAAAACATTATTTTTCTATAATTTTGGTACTAACCCGCATTTTTTGTTCAATTTAGTCTCTATAGTAATTGTGTCATTTTATTGTCACGGTATGTCACTTCAGGAGATCCTTCTTGCAGAAAATTTGTACTCTCTTCGTTCCAAAAATATTTCTATTTTCATTTTTCTTACATCTCAAAAAATATTTCCACTTTCACTGAAAATATTTCTTTTACACATATTCATTTCTCTATTCGTTTTTTTAAAATATTTTCTCTTTCAATTGATTACTTAGTTCAACTCAAGAGTTAATATACTCATTATTTTTCTATTCAACTCCCGGTATGGGATAGACTCTAACACTCTCCCTCAAGTGGAGTTTTGCTGACTAAGAGGCAAATGTTCAAAACTCAACGTTATCCAATTTTAAAAATATTAAGGTTTCACGCGAAATGGTCGAAAAAAGACTATGTTTACATGTGAGAGGACGTGTTAAAATTTAATAAACATTTTATTAAACATAATCACATGCATGAACTTTTAGTCAAAATAATTACTTGAATGTTAATATAGCATGGGTCTAAAATTAATAACACTACCAAGAACTAAGACTACAAGAAAAAAGAACGGAAATAGCTGTAGTCCCGGTTTTTGCTTGCCAAAGAGGCAAAGAAAAATTGTATTTTCACTTTATTCTTTCCACTTTATTCACTCTGCTTCTTATTATTCATTCAAATCTTCCATTTTATATCCCACAAAATTTCCACCACTACCTTAATTCCCACCTCTGTCTTCTTCCCCTTCAGATTTCAGTAGTTTATATTCCACAAAAATTCATCTAATTTGATTTCCGATTCTCTTTTCTTCCCAAGTTTCTCCAGCCATGGAGTCCGCAACCTGGTTCGCCATCAACAAACCACCGCCCAAAAACGGGCTCCGTCGAAACAAAAACCCAATTGATTTTGTCAGGAACCGGGTCGGGTCCTACCCGACGGGTCTGCAAAAGGATTTTTCTCCATTTCTCACGCGCTGCTCCGCAAAGCAAGGCGCGAACAAGACGGACGAGGGGTTATTGTCCGCAGAGCCCGGATCCAGATCGAGGCCCGACGGAGAAGCACGACCCGTACCCGCCGCGAGCGGATCGGGTTGGTATCCGGGTCCTTCGTTCTCGACGGGTCTGGTCTTGGATTTGGGTCATCCGAACGCGTGGGACGGGGTCGAAATCGGGTCGCCCGTGGTGAAGCGGTACCTGAGCGACGAGGAAGAGAGGTGGCACATGTGGTACAGCGGCAGATCCGGTAAGAATCCGGGCTCGGAGTCGATCGGGCTGGCGGTTTCCGGCAATGGGGTCCACTGGGAGAGGGGGGAATCCAAGGTGGGGTCCGCCGGAGGCGTGGGGATGGTGATGAGCTGCAGCCAAGAATGGTGGAGCTTCGACACACACAATATAACCCCCAGTGAGGTTCTGGTCATGTCCAGCAACAAAGTCCACAGATCAAACGGCGCCGTTTACTGGCTCTACTACACAGGTTCCACTGGAGTGGGTCCCGGGGGGAACCCCCCGGGTTTCGATTTGGAAAACCCGGAGAGGGCGTACCTACCCGGGGGAGCCAAACAGGGCATAGCGAAGTCGTTGCCCGGGTTAGCCATAAGCCAAGACGGAAGGCATTGGGCACGGATAGAAGGGGAGCATCATTCCGGGGCCCTGCTGGGCCCCGGGGAAGACGGAGAGTGGGACTCGCTCTTCGTATCCTCGCCGTGCGTCGTTCCCCACGGGAATGACGGCGGCGACCTGAGGATGTACTACCACTCGTTCGACGCCGGGAGCGGGTGTTTCGCGGTGGGTATGGCGCGGTCGAGGGACGGGG